CGCCGGATACTTTGTATTATAGTCCTTCTACAATGTTAGAATACTGAGACAAATTTTTGCAAAAACAAAAATTTTTTTTTAAATTAAAAAAATAGAAAAGTAACTTTTTGTTCCAAACTAACATAACCTCAAATTTATTAAATATGGATATTTCTACGAAACAAAAAGAAAAAAATTTTATTTCTACGAAACGAGCATAACCTCAAAATTGTCAAATAAGAACATTTTTACGGAACATGGCACACAGTGGAAGGTAATTAAATGTAAAACAAAATAAAATATACAAAGTAATAAAAAAATATATTATTAAAGTCACGATCTATAATTAAGGTCACTATTAATAATTACAATTAAGGTCGATTAACAATACCCATTATTAAACCTGTCGATTAACAACTATCATTAACTCGCTTATTAAGTTGTTTCGGGGGAAAAAAAATTGAAAAGAGCATATATAAATATATAATTTATCGCAAATATGTTGAAAGGAAGGATAATAACTAACGAGACAATAATTCACCTCTAACTGACAATTAGAATCAATAAATAACGTTAGATCGTACATTAAAATATTTATCATAAAATGAAACATCTCTTCCGTATATATCAAATGAAAAATGAAAAAATAAATAATAACTTTGTTATTTTCAGTGAAAATAAAAATAAACTATTTAAGATACATTGTATAAGTGGAAATATAAGCAATCCGCACAATTGACATCAGCCAGCAGTTGGAGCAGTGCCCCTTGGCCTAGGAAGGAGCTTCTGATGTGAAAGTCGAAGAGTTATTCAAGGTCTCGGCTATAGACAACTTCATGAGGAGCTGGATTCTTCATATATCAAGTTATAGGTTATAGTGTGTGATCTAGTTCAATATCAACTTTTTTTCGAGTTAAAATGGCGAAAAATTGTATTTTTAACTCAAAAAAAATACTTTCTTACTTAAAAAAAAAAAAAAAAATTTTTAAATTAAAATGCATTTAATTAAAATTTACAGAAATTTGTTGAAAGACTATTCATGTGATGGTGAAGAAAAAATTTCAGCAACTTTTAGGAAATCTAAAAGGAAAAGATAATAAGATATATAAAATTATTAAATAATACGACGATTATTTTAGTTAATTTTACTTTTAGCCAAAATCATACATTTTTTTATTTCTGAAAAATTTTATTATTGTATAGTAAAAATACTTCCTCTATGAGGAAATAGAAAGGAAAAAATCATTAAAGTAATTTATTATTTATTTTCCTTTATTTATTTTTTTTTTTTTTTAACTCTTCAAATTAATTAAAAAATCCACCCGAGACAGGATTCGAGCCCCGCACCTAGTATCTTTTAAGTTACGCCTTACGCCCCGCGGCCAATACCGAACCAATTATACAAAAGTACAAAAAAAAATATAAAAATAATTCTAAAATATAGAAGAAGTAAAATAATTTCGAATCAAAAATTGAAAAATTCCTCTTCTTGCTCATCTCCCCTTTCTTCAGCGTGCGCCACTCATTTGCAAACGTCAATTTTGTAATATATGTCATTTTACCATATTTATAAATAAATACAAACTACAAAGTATAATGAAGAATTTGCAATTTCATAAAATTTTATTTTATACACGCGAAGTGAAGGAATGATGGAAGAATATTTATTTGCAGAATTTAAATAAAATTATTATTATTTTTTTTTAAGATGTCAATTTCTACATATTGGTAAAATTATAGTCAAGTAAATTTATCATGTGCGCATGTAACAAACAGTTTAAGGTCGAGAGAATTATCAATCATTAATATTATTTCTTATTTGAAAATAAGATGTCTCTCTCTGTGTGTGTGAGTTTGTGTTTGTGTGTATAATGTGGGTGCCATCCCACATTCTCCGACTCCCAGCATACGCAATTGAAAAAGTAAAAGGAAAATTATCGCATATTTTGGAAATTAGTTTCTTTTTTTCATTTTATGACCTGACCCTTTCATTAACCTCTAAATTCAAATTGGCCAAAATGCAAATAATTTTGTTAATTAATATTTAAATGCCGTCATACCGTTTTTAGAATTTATAAATGTTGTGCCATTTTTAAAATATAAAAAGTGATATGCTATTTTTAGAATTTTAAAATATTTTGCCATTTTTTTGAATTCATAAGTGTTATGTCATTTTTTAGAACCTCACAATGTTATGCCATTTTTAGAATTTATTAGAATTAAAAAATAGTATACCATTTTTAGAATTTTCAAATGTTGTACCATTAAGGAATAAAAAAGTGATATGCTATTTTTAGAATTTTAAAATATTTTGCCATTTTTAGAATTTATTATAATTTATAAATGTTATGCCATTTTTAGAACATTAAACAACGTTATGCTACTTTTAGAATTTAAAAATATTTTGAAATTTTTAGAATTTATAAGTGTATGCCATTTTTAAATTCTAAAAATGTTATGGCATTTTTAGAACATGAACATGAACAATGATATGACATTTTTAGAATTTTTAAATATTATACCATTTTTAGAATTAAAAAATCTTATGCCTTTTTCAAAATTTATAAACGATTATAGTTGTATATTCTAAATGAAAAATTTGTTGTTGTTGATTATATGATCCCAAACAGACGTGTGGGTGTATTAAGTATTGGGGACCCCCCTTCTGCAAAATGAAGAAAAAAAAAGAAAAGAAAAGAAAAAAAAATCGTTGAACCGTTGTTTGAGGTAAGAAGCTAAAAGGAGATGGTGTAAAGATGGAGCAACCTTTCGCCTTGTGGTTATGTAAGGCCCCAGGCTGAGTGACCTTTAGTTCGTCCAAGGCATGCGGCATTTACGTATTCAACCGTTTACGATTACGATGTGCGAGAGAGAGAGAGGAGCATCTTCTCTCTTCAAAGAAGATGCCGATCTTACCTCTCTCTCTCTCTCTAGTCCCCCTTAAATCTCTTATACTGTGTGGCGATCAAGAGCGTCTTGCCTGCATTATCAGGAATGCTATGACGATTATAGATTGTCACTTACGCAATTGGAATTCCTCATCTTATGTGTTACTGCCAGTATATTATGCCGCATCCATCCTTTAGAAGACACTCCTAATGTTTTAGATAAATATCTCAAAAAGATTCTTCTATGTACTTATTTTTTTATTTTTTTTTTTTTTAATTTTTTTTAAATCATTCTATGTACTTTTTTTTCAAAATTCTTCTTTATATCACTGTAGAAAATAAATCTCACTTTCAGTCCACTTTTGACTAAAACCAAACGATTTTAGTCAAAAGTGTACTGAAAGTAAAGATTTATTTTAGTTTATATTTATATTATTATTTATATACATTTTTTATACCTTGCCAGACAATTACCGGCTTACCTGTTTATTAATCTAAGTAAGTCACGATTACACTGAATTGAGAGAACTACTCTTAATATTATACTTTACTATCTCACCGACTTTTCATTTGATCTACATTTCCAATTAAAAATAATTAATGGTTTAGTTTACAATTTCTTCCTTTTTTTTCTTTTATGTACCGAAATTAAATTTTTTTTTCCTTTCGTAACAAATTAAATTAAATTTTTTAAAAAATTCTCCGCCATTTTGAATATTAAAAATCCGACGTCAAATTAGTGATCAGCGACCTCGAAAACCCCCGAGTAACAAGTTTCATTAAATTTGGTCATTTTTTTAAAAAATTGTCCGCCATATTGGATCCACCATTTTGAATTGCAAAAATCTGACATTAAATTAGTGATCAGCGACCCCGAAAACCCCCGAGTAACAAGTTTCATTAAATTTAGTCATTTTTTAAAAAATTGTCCGCCATATTGGATCCGCCATTTTGAATTTTAAAAATCTGACATTGAATTCGTAATCAGAGACCCCGAAAACCCCCAAGTAACAAGTTTCATTAAATTTGGTCATATTTATAAAAATTGTCCGCCATATTAGATCCGCCATTTTGAATTTCAAAAATCTGACATTAAATTCGTAATCAGCGACCCCGAAAACCCCCGAGTAACAATTTTTGATTAAATTTGGTCATTTTTTTAAAAATTGTCCGCCATATTGGATCCACCATTTTGAATATTAAAAATCCGACGTCAAATTAGTGATCAGCGACCTCGAAAACCCCCCGAGTAACAAGTTTCATTAAATTTGGTCATTTTTTAAAAAATTGTCCGCCATATTGGATCCGCCATTTTAAATTTCAAAAATCTGACATTAAATTAGTGATCAGCGACCTCGAAAACCCCCGAGTAACAAGTTTCATTAAATTTAGTCATTTTTTTAAAAATTGTCCGCCATATTGGATCCGCCATTTTGAATTTCAAAAATCTGACATTGAATTCGTAATCAGCGACCCCGAAAACCCCCGAGTAATGAATTTTAAGCAAATTCGGCCATTTTTTAATAATCGCCCTCCATATTGAATCCGACATTTTGAATTTTGAAAATCCGATGAATACGATTCGTTCGATTTAAATAAAACAAAATATCAAATAAAATATATGCGAAAAATTAGTTCTTAATATAGTTTCCACAAGAAATTTACCTTCTAAATTTGTGGTTAAATAGCTTTTTTTCTTGTTCCTTATAAAAAAAATATAAAGAACGTATTTTTTTATTTTTGTCTAATTGGCGAATTTTTTGAGTTATGAATTTTCCAAATTTGTTTTGAAAACAGTTTAAGAAAATTTGTCGAGTCGAGTCGACATTCGAAAATTGGGAAAGATCCACAATTCACCGCTAGAGTTCCACAATGTTGCCTCTCTTTCTAATCTAAAATTCCCTAGTTATCCCTAGTGGAATATTTTCAATTGTTCACATATTTCAGAAAGAATTTCTCTTTGCAAATTATCATTTCGATTTAAATGTTTGCAAATTAAGATTATAATAACGATTTTCTAAAATATTATTTAATTTTGTGTCGTTTTATAAATAAAAATCGTCAAATTTTTAAATTTCTTTCAAATTGGACAAAAACAGGTAGGAACTTATCCCCGTATGGTAAGGTAGGTATCTGTAAACACTTTTCGCTTCTTGGGCTTTTGATGGTTATGGTCAGTCTGCACGGATCACACACGCATGGATATTGACAGATTAGAACTAAATTTCTATATAATCGGTGAATTTTTACAAAAATTTTAAATACAAAAACACAGTCTACAGTATTTTAAGTAAGTGAATAATAATTTTTACCACTACCGATTCAACTCCATTGTTTATTTCCGACTAAACTGGCAATTGTCGGTAACCTAACCTCAAAATCGAAAAGAGTAAAATATGTACAAAAAGTTTATAATAATAATGAAATAATTAAATACTATCCGTTTGCAAATATTAAAATTCATTATTTTGTAATTAAATTCCTATTTATTTCATTTTATAATTTACTCGTTTTGGTTTCTTTTAATGTTCTTTTTTAAAGTGAAATATTTCTCGAATTAGCTGCTGGATGAGAAATGAGAATTTCTACTTAATATTTAAAAAAAGTAGGGAAATTTTCGCGATTTTTAGTTGTGGGGTGAATTATTTAAAATATCTATTTTTATCTAGCAAAATGGTGTTGTCGTGTCGTTATTACAAGGCGAAATATCCGGAGGTCGAGGATGTTGTTATGGTCAACGTTCGGAGTATCGCCGAAATGGGAGCATACGTTCATTTATTGGAATACAATAATATCGAGGGTATGATTTTGCTCTCGGAATTGTCGAGAAGACGTATTCGTTCCATTAATAAATTAATTAGAGTAGGAAAAACTGAGCCCGTCGTCGTCATTCGAGTCGACAAGGAAAAAGGTAATTTCCATTTATTATTAGTTTGTAAATTAAAAAATGTTATATTTTCAAGAATATACATTAATTTTTAAATTCAAAATTTAAAGAATTCACTTATTAAGAACATAATATTTAATACAATTTTAATAAAATTTCTCGAAAGAATATAATTATTTAAAAAAAAATATTAATTAAATTCGATTATTTTCAAGAATTTTAATATAAATTCAAATATTTTCAACAATTTTGATTTATTCTATTTTGTTAATTCTAAATTTCTAATTCCATTAAATAATGAAATTAATAATTAGGTTTTATATCTAAAATTGACGTTTTTTGATTTTAACGATTTTTTTCCTTTCAGGTTATATTGATTTGAGTAAGCGACGAGTTTCCGCGGAGGACGTGGAAAAATGTACAGAACGATATGCAAAAGCAAAAGCTGTGAATTCAATTCTTCGACACGTGGCGGAATTATTGCACTACGAAAATGACGAGCAATTGGAGGAACTCTATCAAAAAACCGCCTGGTATTTTGAGGAGAAATACAAAAAGCAAAAAGCCTCTGCTTACGATTTCTTCAAGCAATCAGTCCTGTTAGTATTTTTACCCTATTTTTCTTATTTTCGGAATTAAACTTTAACGAAAACAAAAAAAAGAAATAAATTTTTCAATAGAGAAAATTAATTTAATTATTTATTAATTAATTTACTTTCTATAAAATCAAATTAATTTCTTATCTTAATTTTGATTCAAACTCAAATTGATTCGTTCAGAAAATAAATTTAATTATTTATTAATTAATTTCCTTTCTATAAAAACGAATTATTCCCGATCTTAATTTTGATTTAAACTCAAATTAATTCCTTTAGGTAATAAAATTTTTTCCAAATCAAATTTTAAGGAAAATTTAATTTTCAAAAGAAAAAAAGAAAGAAACTCCGTTTTTTTGTTTTTAATTTGTAATTTTTGATTTTTAGAGATCCGTCAATTTTGGCTGAATGCGGCTTGGACGACGAGACAAAGGAGGTGTTATTAAATAATATTAAAAGAAAATTAACGTCGCAGGCGGTGAAAATTCGCGCTGACATTGAATGCGCTTGTTATTCGTACGAGGGAATCGATGCAGTTAAAGCGGCACTAAAATCCGGTTTGGCGCTTTCCACCGAGGAACTTCCGATTAAAATCAATTTAATTGCTCCACCACTTTATGGTAAAATCCTACATTTCTTTTTCCTCCACAAAAAATTGCAAAAAACGATAAAAAAAAAAAGGAAATATAAATTTGTGAAAAATAAAAATTGAATTACTTACAGTAATGACGACGAGTACACCGGAAAAGCAAGACGGTCTAAAGGCCCTCAACGATGCCATTGAAGTCATTAAGGAAAAAATAACAACACTTGGAGGCGTTTTTGCAATTCAAATGGCTGTAAGAATCAAAATTTATTATTTTATTATTATTATGCAATTTACAACATTTTTTTTTTTTTATTATGAAATATTCATTTTTGACAAAAATTCAATTATTTTCAACAAAATTTAGAAACAAATTTCAAGAAAGAATTTAGTTATTTTCTAAAAATTTTAATAAATCCTTTGAAACCATTCAATTATTTTTATAAATAGTAAAACAAATAGTTATAAAATTCTTTTTAAAAATTCAATTATTTTCTAAAATTTTAATAAAACCGTCGAAAAAATTCAATTATGTATTTATTTTTTTTTTTTTTTTGAAAGTAGTAAAATCTTTGCAGAAGTTTAATTATTTTAATAAAAATTCACTAAAGAATTCAATTTTTTTTTTCTAAAATTATAATAAAATCTTTGAAACAATTCAATAACTTTTTTTAAAATATTAAAATCTTTGCAAAAAATAAATTATTTTCTAAAATATTAATAAATCTTTTCGAAACAATTCAAATACTTTTTTTAAAATATTAAAATCTTTGCGTAAAATTTAATTATTTTCTAAAATTTTAACAAATCTGTCGAAACAATTCAAATATTTTTTTAAAATAGTAAAATCTTTGCAGAAATTAAATTAATTTAAATAAAATTTCACTATAGAATTCAATTTTTTTTTTCTAAAAAAATAAATAATAATTTTAATAAATTCCTTGAAACAATTCAAATATTTTTATAAATAGTAAAATTCTTTAACAAAATTCAATTACATATTTTCTAAAATTTTAATAAATCCTTGGGAACAATTGAATTATTTTTATAAATAGTAAAATTTATCGAAAGAATTAAATTATTTTTTGTAAATACATAAAATTCTTCTCAGGAATTCAATTATTTTCAATACAATTTTAATAAATATCAATTTAATTAAATATTTAACTATAATTATTAACAAACACAATTATTTTACAAAGTTGAAAAAAATTCTTCGTTTAATTTAATTATTTTCAAAACTTTAAATTAAAATTATTCAAAAAACTACATTATTTCCTAAAGAAACTTAAAGAAATTCTTCAAAAGAATTTAATTTATTTACAAAAACTCTAAATTCATTTTCTTATAATTGAAAATATTTATTTAGGAGAAAAAGTAGAAATTCGGTTTTTTTTTTAAATTCAAAACTATATTTTATTTAGGAGAAAAAAACAAAAAAGTCTATTTTTTATTACTCAAAAATATTCATTTAGAGCAAAATAAAATTTTCGACTACGGAAAATATTTATTCAGAGGCAAAAAATTGAAATTTTGCCATAAAAATGATTTATTTTCAAACGAAAAATAGAAATTTTGACATAAAAATATTTATTTAGAAGGAAAAAAAAAAAAGAAATTCTATTTTTTTTTTTATAAAAAATGTTTATTTAAAGGAGAAAATTAAATTTTTACAGCCGAAGGTCGTGACCGCGACGGACGAGGCGGAACTCCAGCGACAAATGGAGAGGGCGGAGATGGAAAATGCCGAAGTCGCTGGCGACGACGACGAGGAGGAAGTTGAGGGCATGGGCGACTTTAGCGGCGGCGAGGACGACAATGAGAACGCGGATTCACAGAAGGAGGAGGATTAGATAAAAAAAAAGGAGGAAAATTATTTTATTATTTTTTTTTGTTTATACAATTTTTCCCCGGCATTTTAATATTGATGAAAAAAAAACAAAAAAATGAAACGACAACCACCAATATTTGTATTAAGCAATTTTTTCAGATATATAATTCTAAAAAAAAGAATTGCTATTTTAATTAACAAATCCTAGGCCTTTGATCGACTTTAAAAAAAAAATTCTGACGAAGAATTTCAATTATTTCCATAAAACAAAAATTTTCGTATGATTTTTTATTTTTTAATTATTTTCAAAAGATTTGATAAAATTCTCTTTTAAAATTCAATTATTACTATGAAATGTAAAATTTTTTTAAAAAAAAATTCTAGAATTCAATTATTTTCAAAAATCTAAATAAAATTATTCGCAATAATTCAATTATTATTTCCGTAAAAAATAAAATTCTTCGCAAGAATTCAATTATTTCCGTAAAAAATAAAATTCTTCGCAATAAATTCAATTATTTTTATAAATTATAAAATTCCTCGTAGAAAATTCAATTATTTTCAAAAGTTTTGATAGAATTCTTTATTTAAATTCAATTCTTTTTGTGAAATGTAAAATTCTTTCAAACAAGAATTCAATAATTTTCAAAAGTTTTGAAATGATTCATTAATAAAATTCAATTATTTTCATAAATTTTACAATTAATTGTAAGAATTCAATTATTTTGAAAAGTATTGATAAAATTTATTATTGAAATTCAATTAATTTATAAATTTTACAATTCTTAAAATCTGAATAAAATTATTTGACAAAATTCAATTAATTTCAAAAATTCTAATACAATTTTTTATTGAAATTCAATTATTTTCAATAGTTTTATCTTCCCAGGAATTGAATTTTTCTTTAAAAGAATTGAATGATTTGCCAAAAATTTGATAAAATTCTTCGAAAGATCTTAATTATTATCAAAAAAATCTCAAGAATTGAATTGTAAAATTTGTGGAAAATAATGGAATTCTTCTGACTTTTTATTGCAATTTTTTTAAAATAATTGAATTCATTCGAGGAATTTTATTATAATCTTTAAAATAATTGAATTCTTTGGAAGAAATTTTATTTAAAGTTGTGGAAAATAATTTGAATTTTTTTTATGTGACAATAATTGAATTTTTATAAAAAAAAAATGTTATCAAAGCTTTTGAAAAGTAATTGAATTCTATATCGAGGAATTTTCGTTATAAATTTTATTCAAAATAATTTAATTCCAGGCGAAGAATTTTGTTATTTTAGAAAAATAATTGAATTCTTTCAAGAAATTTTAGATTATTTTTTAAAAGGTAATTGAAAAGAATTGAAAATAATTTAAATCTTACAAAGAATTTTATAAAATTTTCTGAAAATAATTAAACACTTAATTGAAAATTAAAATTTTTTGAAACAATTTAATTATTTTCAGAAAATTTAATAAAATTCTTCATAAGACTTCAATTATTTGCAATTATTTTCAATTCAATTCAATTACTCGACACAATTTAATTATTTTCAATTCTTTTCAATTCAATTCAATTATTCAATTGAAAATTGAAATTTTTCAAAACAATTTAATTTTCTTTCAGAAAATTTAATAAAATTCTTCGTCATAGTTTAATTATTCAATTGAAAACTGAAATTTTTTGAAACAATTTAATTATTTTCAAAAAATTCAATATAATTCTTCATAACAGTTAAATTATTTTCAATTATTCAATTGAAAATTGAAATTTTTCGAAACAATTTAATTATTTTTAGAAAATTTAATAAAATTCTTCGTCATAGTTTAATTATTTTCAATTCTTTTCAGTTCAATTCAATTATTTAATTGAAAATTGAAATTTTTAGACACAATTTTATTATTTTCAGAAAATTTAATAAAATTCTTCGTAATAGTTCAATTATTTTCAATTCTTTTCAGTTCAATTCAATTATTCAATTGAAAATTGAAATTTTTCGAGACAATTTAATTATTTTCAGAAAATTTAATAAAATTCTGCGTAAGAGTTTTCAATACTTTTCAATTGAATTAAATTGTATCGAAATTTCCAATTTTCAATTGAATACATATTCAAAAATTGCCGAAAATTACTAATAAATAATTTTTTTTTAAATTTAATTAAAATCATTTTTAACATTCAAATTAAAATATTGTACTTGAAATTAATATTATAGTGAAAATTAACATAATAAATAACATCAACAAATGATAAATAATTAAAACTAAAATCAATTTCAATGAAAATAAGTGAATAAAAATTTACCTTAATTTTCATTCATTTTTTCGTGAATAAATTTGAAAAAAAGGAATCGGAGCGTAATGAAGAAGGCAGATTTACTGTTTTTTTTTTTGTTTTGCGATTTTATTTGCAAATTTCTAAATGCCAAAAAGAAGAAAAATAGTTTTTTTTCTTAAAAAAAAGAAATTCAGTGTTTAATCGTTGGCAATTGTGACTTCGACTTCTACGCCAGGTTCAATGGAGATGCTGGTGATTTGCTTGACGATTTCGGAAGGCGAATAAAGATCAATGACTCGCTTGTGAATTCGCATTTGGAAGCGATCCCATGTCTTTGAACCCTCACCGCAAGGAGTTTTGCGTGTCGTGATCCTCAAAATTTTCGTCGGTAAACGAACCGGTCCCTTTACCTTCAATTTTTGCTTCTTCGCTCCGTTAATCAATTCCGAGCACACTGCAATTTTAGAATAAAAAAAATTATTTACAAATTAAATTTCTAATTCATTTTCTCTTAATTCTAATTCGTTTCTTTTTATTCTCGACTTACATTTCTAATTCGTTTCCTTTTAATTCTAATTCGTTTCTTTTAATTCTCGACTTAAATTTCTAATTCGTTTCTTTTAACTTTCCTTTAATTTCTAATTAATTTCTTTTAATTCGAATTCGCTTTTTTAATTTTCCTTTAATTTCTAATTAATTTCTTTTAATTCGAATTAAATTTCTAATTCGTTTCCTTTTAATTCTATAATTCGTTTCTTTTAATTCGAATTCGTCTCTTTTAATTCTAATTAGATTCTTTTAATTTTCCTCCTAATTAATTTCCTTTAATTCGAATTAAATTTCTAATTCCTTTTCTTTTGATTCTAATTCGTTTCTTTTAATTCTAATTCGCTTTTTTTAATTTTCCTTTAATTTCTTTTAATTCGAATTAAATTTCTAATTCATTTTCTTTTAATTGTAATTCGTCTCTTTTAATACTTATTCCCTATTTTTTAATTTCCCTTTAATTTCTTTTAATTCGAATTAAATTTTTAATTAATTTCTTTTAATTCGAATTAAATTTCTAATTCATTTATTTCTTTTAATTCTAATTCTTGCCTTAAATTTCTAATTCGTTTTTTTAAATTCTAATTCGATTCTTTTAAATTTCCTTTAATTTCTCATTAATTTCTTTTAATTCTATAATTAAATTTTTAATTAATTTTCTTTTAATTCGAATAAAAGTTTATTGATTTTGTTTTAATTCTAATTCGTTTTTTTTGTAATTAATTTCTTTTAATTCTGTTTAAATTTCAAATTCATATCTTTTAATTTTAGTGAAATTTCTAATTCAATAAAAAATTGTATTGAAAACTAATTTGGATTTTTTTAAAATAAAAAATCGATTTTCGATTTAAAATTTTGATATTTACAAATACAAGAAAAAAAAAAATTAGGGAAAATGTCAAATTGAAAGTAATAAATAATAAAAAAAAAAATTAAAAAAATTGATCGAAAAATGTACGAAACTCACCCTTCTCCAAAGACCTGACATTACGTGAAGTCAAAGTAATCCGGATTCGATGAACTGGTGGAACATCGGGTCCAGGTTTCTCCGGATTTTCTGCTTTCAAACTAGCCTAAAAGAAATACCGAAAAAAAAGTCAAAATCTTATTTTATTTTCTCTTCGAAATTCTTTTGTGAAGCAAACATAACCTCAAAATAAGCGATCGAAAAGACGCAAAATTTTTAAAGGAAAAACGCAACTTGGAAATAATTTTCCTATAAGAGATTTTAATTTAAAAAATTATTTCTCTTTTAAGAAATTTTGAAAAAATGAAAATAAAAATAACGAGAATAACATTTAATAAAGGAGTTTTGAGAATTACAATTTACAAAGGCGAAGCTAACCTCAAAAATTCTTCACGCCAAGTACTTTGTGATTTTCTTGTGAATAAAAAATAGTTGCGAATTTAAAAATACTTTGGAATTAATACCCATGAGAATCGCAAGTGAACTCACCATATTTTCGCTAATTTCCTGGTCGAGATAAACAATTTATCGGATAAAAATTGATCAGCGCTGAACCAGTGTAATCATATGGGGGCACGTGCCAAAGTGGAAAAGAAAAATTTCTCACGTTCGTCGATGGAGCATTTCCGGTTGGATAATAATTACGTGAGTCAACTGAACTTCCAAATTAATACCATTTAAATATTATTTTTGAAAAAATTGCTATTTTATTTCTAATTTTCACTCTTTTTACTCCTTTATTACTCGAAATTGCAAATTGTAAACAAAATTTCAAATATTTTTAAAAAAAATTTTTTCCTATTTTCAATTTGTAATTTTGAAGGTTTTTACTGACTTTGACAGATAAATCGAAAAAGATAATTTTTATCCATTCCATTTGACGTATTTTATGTTTTTGTCGGTTTTTATCTTTTATTATCTTTTATCTCTTTTATGCAGTAGCGGTGTATCTTTTTTTTATCTAAAAAAACAGTTATTTTTAACAATTATTCTCCACAAGTATTTACTGAAAATCGAATGCATTATTATGCACAGAAAACTCCAGGACCAATAGTATTTTTAAATCCAAGGTATTTTTAAGAAATAACTTTTATTTTCTCTATTTTAAATGCGTAATGCAAAATGCATTTACGAAGATAAGTGTTTTATAACCTCAAAATTTGACGTTTATTTGACGTTTGAATATATTTGAAAGCAAAACAATTCCGATTTCTCGAGATAATAATTAGAAATTGATTATTTTTATCATTAGTACGTGTAATTTCGAGTTTCTTTGACAATTTTTAAATGGAAAAATTCTACTTTTCGGCTAAATCGTTGTTATTATATAATGTAAATAATATATATATTTTAGTGATTTTAGTAATTAACTGCCGCTTGTAAAAATATTGTTACGATTGTTACCTTGTGAATTCTACATTCTATTTCCTTTTTTTCTTTCTAGATATAAAAATTAACAAATTAAGGTGAATTTTTACTTTTATATAATTATAAATTAACAAAGGAAGGAGATTAATTATGTATGGAATTATTAATCGAAATTTGTCGACATTGAAGACGACAAATCTCCAAAATGTTCGATTCGCTCATCACTCGTGAGTACAATAAAAAATCTTTTTATTACTTTTTATACAAAAAAAAAGAAAAATAAAATGACGCATTCTTTGCTATAAAAAAATAAGTAGTACAGATTTCATTGTAAGTGAAATTTTGAATATTATTGTTATTGCTATTTTTATTTTTAACAAATTCCTATAATTTTATTATTATTATATTATTTTCACAATTGGAATTATTTTCTAAAACATTAATTTAATTCCTCAAAATAAATTCAATTATTTTCGAAAATTTTAATAAAATTCTTCAATTATTTTCATAAATAATAAAATTCTTCACGGGAATTCAATTTTTGAATAACTTCAAATTCAAAGTTTAAAAAAATTCAATTATCAACTAATTTACTAATTAATTATTCCTATTTATTAATTTCAAAAATTTTAGTAAAATTCTTCGCAAGAATTCAATTATTTTTAATACAATTTTAATAAAATTTCATGAAAGAATTCAATTTTTAATAATGTTTTTCGAAAGAATTCAATTATTTTCTATAGTTTTAAAAAATTCTTCGAAACAATTCAATTATATTTATAAATAGTAAAATTCATTGCAAAAATTCAATTATTTTCAAAAAAAATTTCACGAAAGAATTCATATTTTTCTTAATTCGTTATAAAAAAATTTTTCAAAATAATTCAATTATTTTCTAAAATTTTAATAAAATTGAATAATTAAATGTTCAATTTCAATTATTAACAAACCGGATTATTTTAAAAATTATTTTCATTAACTATTGTTATTTTTAATTTTATTATTTTCTTTTTGTTACAATTACTATAATTTTTTTATTAGTAGATATATTATTTTCTTTATTTTATTTTTTGACTACTATTATTTTTTTCTATTTTTATTCTTATTATTTGTTTTTTGTTATAAAAAAAAAAAAATTATGTACCAACTAAAATTTTTTAAAAATTAATTTCGACAGGTGTAAAATTTTGGTACTTGGAGGAGGAACGGGCGGATGTTCAATGGCGGCTAAATTATCAAAAAACTTCAACGAGAAACCATCTCATGTGATAGTCGTTGATCCGGCCGAAGTATACAAATTTAAATTCATTAAAATTTTTGTCAACTTAATTAAATTAATTACTAATTTTTTTTTAAGTAAATAATTTTAAGTACAATTAATTTTATTTGACAATTAACTTAAAACTGAGTAAAAAAAAACTAATTTAACTAATTAACTTAAAAGTAAATGAAATAAATGTAGTTTTTTCGTTTATTAACTCAAAAAAAATAAATAAATAAATAATTTAAAAGAATTTCTTTTCCTTTCCAGTATCACTATTATCAGCCATTTTTCACATTAGTCGGAGGCGGAATTGGGAACGTAAAAAAATGTCGACGACCAATGAAAGACGTCCTGCCGAAAAATGCCCAATGGATAAAGGATTGTGTCATGGAAATCGATGCGAAAAATAACAAAATAATTACAAAAAATGGCGATACTGTTCAGTATGAGATTTTAATTGTTGCCCTTGGCCTCAAACTCAATTGGCAAGCTGTTGAGTATTTATTATTTTAATTATTATTTTTTTTAGCAGAAAAAAATTGAAATTACTATTTTTTGAATAAAAAATTGAAATTATATTTTTTTTATGCAAAGAAAAATTAAAATTTTCTCTTTTTAGCTAAAAAAAATTTAAAGTTTTCTGTTTTTAGGTAAAAAAAAAATTGAAATTACTTTTTTTATGACGAAAAAAATTGAAATTATCTTTTCTTGATAAAAAAAAATTGAAATTATCTCTTTTCAGCTAAAAAGAAAAAATTGAAATTTTCTCTTTTTAGCTAAAAAAAAATTGAAATTTTCTTTTTTTAACTAAAAAAAAAATTGAAATTACATTTTTCTATGACGAGAAGAATAAATAATTTTCTATTTTCAAGATTCCTGGACTGGTTGAGGGTCTTGATAATCCAGAATCAACGGTGTGCTCGATTTACAGTCCGGAAACGGTGCCAAAAGTTTTTGGTGCCATTAAAAAGACAAATAATGGAACGGCACATTTTACGTATCCAAACACGCCGATTAAATGTGCAGGAGCACCGCAAAAAATAATGTATCTCGCCGAGGCTTTCTGGAGAAACGTAAATTTTCATTCGTTTGCTTATTGTCTTATTTTAACTATTTTATTTTCATTATAATTACTATTTTTAGAATTGGAATTATTTTTTTAATTTTATTTTTATTCCTCGAAATAAATTCAATTGTTTTTGAAAAATTTAATAAATCAATTATTTTCATAATTAATAAAATTCTTCATGGGAATTCAATTATTTTGAATAAAATTTTAACGAAAATTTCACGAAAGAATTCAATTAATACTTTTTTAAAAATTAGAATAAAATTTCTCGAAAGAATTAAATGGATGTATTTTTATAAATAAAAATTAAGAATTGAATTTTTTAATTTAAACGTTATATATTTAAATTTTAATTAAAAATCCTTTCTTTTTTAATGTAGAATTTTTGAAAAATGAATATTTTGTTTTCCAGCAAAATTTGAGGAACAATATTGACGTTGTTTACAATACTTCACTGCCAGTGATTTTCGGAGTGAAAAAATATGCCGACGCACTATGGGAGGTGTGTAAAAATCGTGACGTTCGTGTTAATTTGACGACAAATTTAATTGAAGTGCGACCCGATAAATGTGAGGCAGTTTTTCAAAATCTCACGAAACCCGACGAGACGAAAGTGGAAAAGGTTCGAGAATTCAAAAAACAAATAAATAAATAAAATCAAGTTTTCTATTAATTATTATTAGGAATTATTACTTTTTATTATTTTAATATTATTTTATTGAATTTTTATTATTAAATTAACAATTATTAAAATTTTTTTTCTTCAGTATTCACTCTTACACGTGACACCGCCAATGACAACTCCGGATGTTCTCAAAAAAAATCGCGATTTAACGAATGAATCGGGTTTTCTTTGTGTGAATGAGAAAACTCTTCGTCACGATAAATACGAAAATATTTTTGGTATCGGCGACTGCACAAATACGCCGAATTCAAAAACAATGGCTGCTGTTGGTAGGAGAAATTTTCTGTTCAATTGAAAATTAATTCTTTTCTTATACTTTATTTATTTTTTATTCTTTAATTTATTTTTTACTTTTTTATTTATTTTTTATTTTCCTATTTGTTTTTTTTTACTTTTTTATTTATTTTTTACTTTTTTATTTATTTTTGACGTTTCTATTTGGTTTTCTTACTTTTTTATTTATTTTTTTACTTTCCTATTTGTTTTTTTTTACTTTTTTATTTATTTTTTACTTTCTTATTTATTTTTACTTCTTTGTTTATTTTTTTCACTTTCTTATTTATTCATTTATTTTCATTACAAGTTTTTTCTTTTAATTAATAAATATTTTACTCTAAAAATGTCTTCAAACGTACATTAATTATTTTATGGTAAAAAAAAAGGCCTGATTTATTAAATTTTAAAAATTGCCATATAAATTTGACAGCATCGCAGGTGAAAGTTTTATACACAAATCTCATGGATCATTTGGAGGGAAGAGAAATGTCCGACGTTTATGAAGGCTACGCGTCCTGTCCAATTGTCACTGGCAATGAAAAATGTATTCTCGCTGAATTTGACTATAAATTAAATCCCCGCGAAACATTTCCATATAATCAAGGACAGGAATCACGCATTGCATATTTAATGAAAAAGGATATTTTTCCCTTCATCTACTGGAATTTGATGTTAAAGTGAGAAAACAAATTTTTTTCTTATTAAAAAACGTTTATTTATTCATAATTAATTTTCCAGGCACAATTCATTTTTATAAAAAAGAATTTATTTATCAAAAACATTATTATAATTAATTTGGAAATTGAAAGAACTATTTTTAATCGTATTTATTATAATAGAGAAATTTAATTTTTCTTTGATCTCAATTTTTAATTTGACAACAAGTTTATTATTATTGAAAACAAGATAAAAAATTAATTTATACAAAAAGGGTATTTATTATAAACATTCGATTATAGAATGAAAGAAAGGAATTTGTTTGAATTATTAAAAAAAAAAATTTTTGGAAAAAACTGAAAAATATGTTTATTAAAAAATTAAAATTAATTTTTAAATAATTGGCAAACTTGGGGGTAAATTGAAAAAAATACACTAAATGGAATTTTAATTTCAGCGGTCACTGGCATGGACCTGAGGTGTTCAGAAAAATTTTCCATCCTTTCGACAAGTAACGGAGAAAAAAAAAGTTTACAATATATGGAATTTACGGTGATGAGAAGAAAATCATTTTTCTTTTGATACTCACACGATTGGCGATTAAAGTTTTTGGATTTTTGTTTGTTATTCGAGAGAAAGTCAAGGATTAGAAACGAAAAATAATTTCAATTCGAAATTATTGGGATTATCGATTCAAGAGTTAAATATATTGATCGTCCAAGTATTTTGATATTGTGGAATTTTGTTTTTGCACACATTTTGCAAGAAATTTTTGAAAATTTATTTTTTATAAAAAAATTTTTGTTATTGTTTTCTCTTTAAATTTTTATAAATTTACACTTTGAATTTATATACTATACACTTGAAATTTATATTCTTTACACTTGAAATTTGTATATTTTACACATCAAATTTATATGATTTACATTTTAAATTTATTTAATTTACACTTTAAATTTATACAATTTACACTTCAAATTTATATAATTTACACTTTAAATTTATATAATTTACATTTTAAATTTATATACAAAAAACTTCTTTTTCACTTTTCACTTCTTTAAATATTTTACACTTCAAATTTATAAATAATTTTGACTTTAAATTGTGCACTTTAAAATGTAAAGTCCATACCATTTTTTTAAATAATATTTAATTGTAATAGTTTATCAATAATTAGGTCAAATTTGATAAAATTTACAAAATTTAGTTTTTAAGACTCACTGAATTTTGGTAAAATTCATAAATTCATCAATAATTTGTAAAAAAATTTGTAAAAAGTTTTCCTTTCTTTTGTACAAATTTACTATAGTTTTTTTTTGTAAATTATTCATATTGTAAAATAAAGTTATTAGATGCATATAAATGTGTGGTCAAATTTTTTATAAACTTTTTTTGTTTACAAAAAAGATGCGACATTTCGAAAAATTAAAATTTTGTAAATATTTTAATTTAAATTTACATTTAATTAATAATTTTAAAAAATAATTGTTTTCTTTTAAAAATTTTTTATTAAAATTTTTAAAATAGTTAAATTATTTTGAAGAATTTATTTGAATTTTCTTGAAAATAATGGAGTTTTTTTTTAAAATAATTTTTACTAAAAATTTTAAAAGTAATTCTTTAAATAAATATTAAATTGTATTAAAATTATTCACAGAAAATTAAATTCTTTTAAACAATTTTATTAAGAGTTTTTGTAAATAATAACATTTTTTTTAAAAAGAAATTCATTCAAATTTCATAAAAATAATGTAAATTTTTTGAAAATAATTTTAATTGAAAATTTTGAAAATAATTGAAATTTACAAAGAATTTTATTAAAAACTTTTGAGAACAATATTGAATATTGTTTAGAAAAATTTTATTGTACAATTTTTAAAAATAATTGAAACTGTTGGAGAAATTTTATTAAAATTTCCTTGAATATAATTGAATTTTTTCCTAGAAATTCTATTAAAATTGTATCTGAAAATAATAGAATTTCTTAGAAGAATTTTATTAAACATTTTGAAAATAATGATTTTTTTTAGAAGAATTTCATCAAAATTGTTGAAAATAATTGAATTTATATTAAAATTCTTTAAAATAATCGAATATAATTAATACTTTTGAAAATAATAGATAAAAATATTCCAAAATTGAAACTGAAATATAAATTGAGTAAAAAAATGAAAAAAAAAATTGAAACTGAAATACAATTCGAATTAAAATACGAAAAAAATGAAAATAACGGTCTTTTTTTCGATCATTTTATTCTCTGTATAATACTGTGATATGTTTACATCAATGTTATTATGATGAAATGTAACGTGATGCTGGCTCTAATCTAAAAATTTCGATTGTTAACACAAAAGTACTGCCACCTTGACAGTAAAATTATTACAGTTACTTCTATTATGTTTTTTTTTAAATATTTATAATATGAGTCTGGTTACAAGTATAACTCCGTTTTTTGCGACGACGTCGTTATCGAGTAATAACAGTGATATGTGTTCTGTCTCTAACGATAAAACTATAATATATAATGTATCGAGTGAATTTTCTCTCGTTCCTCTCGTTATTTCCAATCGCAATCGTTTTCTTCCTCAATTTTTCCATTTTCAATATTTCTATAATTTCTTCTTCAATTTTTTCCTCTTTCAATATTTCTATTTTCATTCTTTAAATTTCTATTTTCATTCTTTAAATTTCTATTTTTATTTTTAAAATTTCTATCTTCAATATTTCCATTTTTAATTCTTCTGTTTTCAATATTTTTCCATTTTTATTTTTCTATTTTTAATATTTCCAATTTTTTGTATTTTTAATTTTCTCTTTACTTTTCGTATTTAAATTAAAGAAATTTTTTTTTCGCTCCAAGGAGAAAATAATTTTGTAAAATTGAATTCAATTTATTTTTCGTTTCGAATCGGATTTAATTGAATTTTTTCAACTGAATTGAATTTTTTTTAATTTGATTTAATTTATTTTTTCAATTGAAAATTAAAATTGAAATCAAATAGAATTGATTTTTTCAGTTTTGTTTAATTTTTTTCAATCAAATTGAAAGAAATTGAATTTTTCTATTTATTATTCAATTTTTTTTTTCAATCGAATTGAATTTAATTTATTTTGAATCGAATTTAATTGAATTCTTTCAATTATATTCAATTTTTTTCAATTAAATTGAATTCAATTCATTTTCTCGATTGAATCAAATTTAATTGAATTCTTTCAATTATATTTAATTTTCTTTCAATTGAATTGAATCGAATTTTTTCAATTTTTCAATTTTGTTTATTTTGATAATTGAATTGAACTTAAATTATATTTTCAATTTTATTTTTACAATTTTCATTTATTTTTTCAATGGAATTGAATAGAACTTGAATTATTTTTTCAATTTTACTTTTTTAATTTTCATTTATTTTTTCAATGGAATTGAATTGAATTGAATTGAATCGAATCGAATTTTTCTAATTTAAATTTATTTCCTTTTTTCTTCGGAGCGCGTCACAATTTTTTTTCCCAAAAAAAAGAGGATTTAGAAACAACGAGAATAGAAACAATTACATCGCTTTCTTTTTTTTCTTTCCTAAATTTTACTACATTTTTCTTTTTTTTTTATATGGACAGTCTATTGTTGGGATTAAGTGCGTCGATTATGGCCCTTTCTTATAGAAATGCGCTTTTACAAAAATTACACAACTAGTTTTACAATTTTTTTTTATTTTTGTTTTCATGATAAATATATATATTTATATATAACATTTTGCTGTAACAGAAAAAAATTGTAGCATTTCCTTTCTTTTTTTTAAAATTAATTTCATCCCCCAACGGGAATCCTTTTTTTCGAGTAGATTTTCATTCTACAATTAATCTTATGGAGACGATTTTTGCAAATTTTTTTCTTTCCCCCAAAATTGTAAATAGGAAAAAAAAATTTTATTCACTCACATTTTTTTTTTTTTTTTTTGAAATTAATTTCATTGAGAAAAATTATAATTTTTCGGTAAAAAATTTTTCATCGAAATTATTATTTTTCGGTAACGAAATTTTTCATCGAAGTTTTTATTTTTATTCGAAAAATAATCATTTTTCGGTAAAAAATTTTTCATCGAAATTATTATTTTTCGGTAAAAAATTTAATCGAAATTTTCATTTTTATCGAAAAAAAATAATTTTTTGGTAAAAAATTTTATCGAAAAACAACAATTTTTCGATAAAATTTTGTCGAGATTTTTATTTTTCCATGAAAAATAATAACTTTACGATAAAATTCCATCGAAAAATAATAATTAAATTTTAAAAATTGTGAAGAGAAATTTTTTTTCGATATCGCAAAAATTTTTACAAAAAATGAGAAAAGAAAAAAATTCGCAAAGATCAATTTCTTGTTTCTTATTTTTTTTTTACTTAAAAAATAATAATTATGGCAAATTAATAATTACAGTGAAAATCTACAAATTCGCGAATTTGATTTAATAAAAAACAAAAGAAAAAAAAAATCTTTCGATGGATAAATAATTGATTAAAAATTAATTTGTATATTCTCTTAAAAATTAAATACAAAGGTAATTAATTTGTAAATTACAATTAAATCTATTTACATGTACACGTAATGCAAATAATGCAATAGGGGTAGTTTTTTTTAAATCGTTTCCTACCCGAGCTGCCTCTACTCACACACATCCAAACACTGTGCTCTCCACTTAATTCAGATACTTCATATCTTTATTTTTTTTATTTATTTATACGAAAGACGCTCACTTATTCAATGTGTGGATGAATTTGAAAATGAATTTTTGGATTTTCGTGAAATATTCCGTTTTTATTTATGTATTTAATATTCTAAAAAATGCTTTTTCTTGAAAAACTTTTCTTTCGCGGGTAAAATAAAATTTTTTTTTCTTAATAAAAAAAAATCTTTTTCCTTGAGAAGGAAATTTTTTTTAAAATGAAAAATTTGTTTTTTCAATGAAAAAATTGTTTCATTAATGAAAAATTTGTTCTCCAATCAAAAAATTACAATTTTTCCATTAAAGAACAAATTTTTCACTGAAGAAACAATTTTTTCATTAAAGAAACAAATTTTGCAATAAAAAAAAATTTCTTCTCCAAGAAAAAAAATTTTTTCTTTGACAAGAAATTTGTTTCTTTAATGAAAAATTTGTTATTCAACGAAGAAATAAATTTGTTTTTATTGTTCTTCAAAGAAAAATTTGTTCCTTCTATGAAAAAATTGTTCTTCATTGAAAAATTTTCTCTTTCAATAATAAATTTGTTTCTTTAGTGAAAAATTTGTTCTTCAATAAGAAATTTTTTCTATAATAAAAAATTATTTCTTCAATAAAGAATATTTTTCATTAGCAAGAAATTTTTTCTATAACAAGAAATTTCTTCTTCAATAAAAAATGTTTCCTTCAATCAGAAATTTTTTCTACAATAAGAAATTTCTTTTTTCTATAAAAAGAAAATTTTATGCTCCTATAAAAATTTCGAACGTTGAAATGAACCAAATTTTTATCACTTCTTTTAATTTCATTTTTATTACGAAAACTGTCAAAAAAAAAAAATTCAAACGCATTTATTAATTTAAAAAAAGTTTCTTTTTGAAATTTAACAGAAATTTAGAATTTTTTTGAAAAATATAATTTTTTAAAATATATTTCTTCAAAAATACAATTATATTACAAAATAATTTTTAAAATTGTATTTTATAAAAATAATTTAATTTTAATAAAGAATTTTATGAAAATTTTTGAAAATTATTGTCAATTTTACTAAGAATTTTATTTAGATTCTAAAAATTGTATAAAATTGATAAAAATAATAATTGAATTTCAATATTGGATTTTATTAAAACTTTTGAAAATAATTGAATTTTTACGAAGAATTTTTTAATTTATAAAAATAATTGAATTTATTGCGAAGAATTTTATTTTTTACGGAAATAATTGAATTCTTGCGAAAAATTTTAATTATTGACATTTTTGTAAATAATTAAATTTTTGAATTTTTCTTGAAAAAAATTTTACATTTCATAAAAATAATTGAATTTTAATAAAGAATTTTATCAAAACTTTTGAAATTAATTAAATTTCTGCCAAAAATTTTATAATTTTTTAAAAATAATTGAATTCTTGCGAAGAATTTCGTAGAATTGAAATTAAAACTTTTGAAAAGAATAATAAAATTATTGCGAGAAAGTTAATTGAAAATAATTAAATTTTTATTTAATATAATTTTTTCAAACTTTTTCTAAATAATTGAAATCTTTGAAAGAATTTAAACTAATTTTTTCAAAATTTTTCCTAAATAATTGAAATCTTTGAAAGAATTTTTTGAAATTTTTTCTTAAACTATATTTTTCTTTTGAGAAATTTTATTAATATTACAAATAAAAATAATTGCATTCCAACGAATAAAAATTCAATAATTTAAGAAATTCCCAAATATTTAAATTCAATAATTCTTAAGAAAATATTTAAAAACTTGTTTATTTATTTTAATTGAAATTTCAATCTGAAACCTTTTCTTTCGATGAAAACTATTTCGTTTATTTTGAACGTTCGAAACTTTATAGAGAAACTTTTTTTTCCCTTTGAAAAAGACTTTTTTTCCTCAACGAAAATTTGTTATAAATTTTTTTTTCGTATAAAGGTAGCAAATTTCGTATTTATATTGAACTCAACAGTCTTTGGCTCGACTATACAGTTGAACACTTTCGATATACGAAAAAAATTCGCAGGAGATCAGTGTTTTTTTTCCATTTTTTTTTTGTAAACAAATACAAATAAGAATCTCAAAATACGAGATACGTTTTTTTTTCTTCTTGTAAAAATTGTCAGTCATTAGAAAATATATATAAATATTTATATATAGAATAAATTAATCGTAAGCTAGTAAGAACTCTTTTTTTTTACAATCTATATACAAATAAAAATAAAAATTAACTAAACATTAAAAGTTGTGTAAAAAAAAAGTACATGCAAATCTTATTTTCAATTTTCTATAAATTGATTAATTAAATTAAAAATTAATTTCATAATCGAAAAAATAGAATTGGAAGAAAAGAGACGGGGAGAGTTCTTGTAAAATTTTGACCTTGCCAATATAATTTTGGATCAATTATTTTTGGAAAATGAAAAAAAAATATAAAGGGAAGATGTCGCGTATAAAAAATCATTCATACTTTTATCGATTACAATAAACAGTCATACCGTGAATTTTATCAGTTTTTAAACAGTATTCCCGCGTGTGTTCTATTATTTTTTCTCACCATTTTGTTGTTGTTTTTTTGTCCGTTTTTTTGTTTGCACAGCAAAACTGTGTGTGGATGGAACGGGGAAATGAATTTTCATTTCCTAGAGAACAACATCGGGTAGGGAGCAATGCCACTAGGCAAGTTGCATCCCACTTCTTCCGCCGTGATGACCCACGCCAATCATTGAACCACCGCCGGTTATATCGTCGCGAACTATTTTCCTCTCCTTGTAATAAATTTCCTCGCTCTCCTTGTCGCAGAGCAATAAGAGAGCGCCGCCAAAGAGGAAAATCGCCGCTCCCCATCCAACGCCGTAGGCCCAACCAAATTCCCATATTGGTCGATTTCCTGAGGAAATTATTATCAACATTAAAATTACTCTTACATTAAAATTACTCTAATATTAAAATTACTCTTATATTAAAATTACAATCATATTCTAATTATTATATTATATTTACTATTATATTAAATTATTTTCAAAATTTTTAATAAAATTCGTTCAAAAAATTCAATTGTTTTCAATAATTTAGATAAAATTCTTCGAAACAATTCAATTATTTTTATAAATTGTAAAATCCTCCACAAAAATTCAATTATTTTCATAAATAAGAAAATTCTTCACAGGAATTTAATTATTTTCTATAAATAACAAAAACACTCAAAACAATTCAATTATTTTTCAAAATTTTATTAAAATTCTTAGCAAGAATTCAATTATTTTTATAAATAATAAAATTTCTGCAAGGAATTCAATTATTTTTAAAAAATTAATTAAAATCCTTCAAAAGAATTCAAATTTTTTGCAAAAATTCAAATTTTTTCATAAACTTTCTCGAAAAAATTCAATTATTTTAAAAAATATTATTTAAATTCAATTATATTCATAAACAAAAAAATTCTTCACAAGAATTTAATCTATATTAATAAAATCAGACTTCTGTCTGTACATTGCTTCAAGCTTGAAAATTTTTATATATTTTTTCGTTTTGAGACATTATCCGATTAAAAAATAATAACTTGAACGAAAGTTAAGTAAAGTATTTTTCAAAAGCACAAAAATAATGAAGCTAAATGCCTCAAAAAAGAAGAAAAAATGTTGAATTTTAAGAAATTCGGATTTTTGAATTTTTGAAAATTTTCGATAATTTTAGATTTTTTACCAAAGAGTCGAGACTTTTAAATAAGTAAAGTATTTTCCAAAAGCACAAAAATAATTAAGCTAAATGCCACAAAAAAGAAGAAAAAATGTTGAATTTTAAGAAATTCGGATTTTTGAATTTTTGAAAATTTTCGATAATTTTAGATTTTTTACCAAAGAGTCGAGACTTTTAAATAAGTAAAGTATTTTCCAAAAGCACAAAAATAATTAAGCTAAATGCCACAAAAAAGAAGAAAAAATGTTGAATTTTAAGAAATTCGGATTTTTGAATTTTTGAAAATTTTCGATAATTTTAGATTTTTTACCAAAGAGTCGAGACTTTTAAATAAGTAAAGTATTTTCCAAAAGCACAAAAATAATTAAGCTAAATGCCACAAAAAAGAAGAAAAAATGTTGAATTTTAAGAAATTCGGATTTTTGAATTTTTGAAAATTTTCGATAATTTTAGATTCTTTACCAAAGAGTCGAGACTTTTAAATAAGTAAAGTATTTTCCAAAAGCACAAAAATAATTAAGCTAAATGCCTCAAAAAAGAAGAAAAAATGTTGAATTTTAAGAAATTCGGATTTTTGAATTTTTGAAAATTTTCGATAATTTTAGATTTTTTACCAAAGAGTCGAGACTTTTAAATAAGTAAAGTATTTTTAAAAAGCACAAAAATAATGAAGCTAAATGCCTCAAAAAAGAAGAAAAAATATTGAATTTTAAGAAATTCGGATTTTTGAATTTTTGAAAATTTTCGATAATTTTAGATTTTTTATCAAAGAGTCGAGACATTTAAATAAGTAAAGTATTTTCCAAAAGCACAAAAATAATTAAGCTAAATGCCACAAAAAAGAAGAAAAAATGTTGAATTTTAAGAAATTCGGATTTTTGAATTTTTGAAAATTTTCGATAATTTTAGATTTTTTACCAAAGAGTCGAGACTTTTAAATAAGTAAAGTATTTTCCAAAAGCACAAAAATAATTAAGCTAAATGCCACAAAAAAGAAGAAAAAATGTTGAATTTTAAGAAATTCGGATTTTTGAATTTTTGAAAATTTTCGATAATTTTAGATTCTTTACCAAAGAGTCGAGACTTTTAAATAAGTAAAGTATTTTCCAAAAGCACAAAAATAATTAAGCTAAATGCCTCAAAAAAGAAGAAAAAATGTTGAATTTTAAGAAATTCGGATTTTTGAATTTTTGAAAATTTTCGATAATTTTAGATTTTTTACCAAAGAGTCGAGACTTTTAAATAAGTAAAGTATTTTTAAAAAGCACAAAAATAATGAAGCTAAATGCCTCAAAAAAGAAGAAAAAATATTGAATTTTAAGAAATTCGGATTTTTGAATTTTTGAAAATTTTCGATAATTTTAGATTTTTTACCAAAGAGTCGAGACTTTTAAATAAGTAAAGTATTTTCCAAAAGCACAAAAATAATTAAGCTAAATGCCACAAAAAAGAAGAAAAAATGTTGAATTTTAAGAAATTCGGATTTTTGAATTTTTGAAAATTTTCGATAATTTTAGATTTTTTACCAAAGAGTCGAGACTTTTAAATAAGTAAAGTATTTTCCAAAAGCACAAAAATAATTAAGCTAAATGCCACAAAAAAGAAGAAAAAATGTTGAATTTTAAGAAATTCGGATTTTTGAATTTTTGAAAATTTTCGATAATTTTAGATTTTTTACCAAAGAGTCGAGACTTTTAAATAAGTAAAGTATTTTTCAAAAGCACAAAAATAATGAAGCTAAATGCCTCAAAAAAGAAGAAAAAATGTTGAATTTTAAGAAATTCGGATTTTTGAATTTTTGAAAATTTTCGATAATTTTAGATTTTTTACCAAAGAGTCGAGACTTTTAAATAAGTAAAGTATTTTCCAAAAGCACAAAAATAATTAAGCTAAATGCCTCAAAAAAGAAGAAAAAATGTTGAATTTTATGAAATTCGGATTTTTGAATTTTTGAAAATTTTCGATAATTTTAGATTTTTTACCAAAGAGTCGAGACTTTTAACTAAGTAAAGTATTTTTCAAAAGCACAAAAATAATGAAGCTAAATGCCTCAAAAAAAAAGAAAAAATGTTGAATTTTAAGAAATTCGGATTTTTGAATTTTTGAAAATTTTCGATAATTTTAGATTTTTCACCAAAGAGTCGAGACTTTTAAGTAAGTAAAGTATTCTTCAAAAGCACAAAAATAATGAAGCTAAATGCCTCAAAAAAGAAGAAAAAATATTGAATTTTAAGAAATTCGGATTTTTGAATTTTTGAAAATTTTCGATAATTTTAGATTTTTTATCAAAGAGTCGAGACTTTTAAATAAGTAAAGTATTTTCCAAAAGCACAAAAATAATTAAGCTAAATGCCTCAAAAAAGAAGAAAAAATGTTGAATTTTAAGAAATTCGGATTTTTGAATTTTTGAAAATTTTCGATAATTTTAGATTTTTTACCAAAGAGTCGAGACTTTTAAATAAGTAAAGTATTTTCCAAAAGCACAAAAATAATTAAGCTAAATGCCTCAAAAAAGAAGAAAAAATGTTGAATTTTATGAAATTCGGATTTTTGAATTTTTGAAAATTTTCGATAATTTTAGATTTTTTACCAAAGAGTCGAGACTTTTAACTAAGTAAAGTATTTTTCAAAAGCACAAAAATAATGAAGCTAAATGCCTCAAAAAAAAAGAAAAAATGTTGAATTTTAAGAAATTCGGATTTTTGAATTTTTGAAAATTTTCGATAATTTTAGATTTTTCACCAAAGAGTCGAGACTTTTAAGTAAGTAAAGTATTTTTCAAAAGCACAAAAATAATGAAGCTAAATGCCTCAAAAAAGAAGAAAAAATATTGAATTTTAAGAAATTCGGATTTTTGAATTTTTGAAAATTTTCGATAATTTGAGATTTTTTACCAAAGAGTCGAGACTTTTAAATAAGTAAAGTATTTTCCAAAAGCACAAAAATAATTAAGCTAAATGCCTCAAAAAAGAAGAAAAAATATTGAATTTTAAGAAATTCGGATTTTTGAATTTTTGAAAATTTTCGATAATTTGAGATTTTTTACCAAAGAGTCGAGACTTTTAAGTAAGTAAAGTATTTTTCAAAAGCACAAAAATAATGAAGCTAAATGCCTCAAAAAAGAAGAAAAAATGTTGAATTTTAAGAAATTCGGATTTTTGAATTTTTGAAAATTTTCGATAATTTTAGATTTTTTACCAAAGAGTCGAGACTTTTAAATAAGTAAAGTATTTTTCAAAAGCACAAAAATAATGAAGCTAAATTCCTCAAAAGAGAAGAAAAAATGTTGAATTTTAAGAAATTCGGATTTTTGAATTTTTGAAAATTTTCGATAATTTTAGATTTTTTACCAAAGAGTCGAGACTCTTAAATAAGTAAAGTATTTTTCAAAAGCACAAAAATAATGAAGTTAAATGCCTCAAAAGAGAAGAAAAAATTTTGAATTTTAAGAAATTCGGATTTTTGAATTTTTGAAAATTTTCGATAATTTTAGATTTTTTACCAAAGAGTCGAGACAATTTAATAAGTAAAGTATTTTCCAAAAGCACAAAAATAATGAAGCTAAAATCAAAGTTAAAAATGATAAAAAAAATGTACGAAAAAAATTTATTTTTCTTTAGAAAAAAGAATTTTATTACCGTAATTTAATTCTGCTGCAAAGCAAACGGGATAAATGACCAATGCAATCAGCAATGACAAGACTGTGAACAGAAAGGAAATAAAATTTAATAGTCAAATTTATTATTTTTTTTAAAAAAAAAGAAAGAAAATACTCACAGGCAACTCCCATGCAGAATACTGCGAATCTGTAATATTTATGTTTTCTGCGATGATCCTGTGTTCGTAGACCGAATCCTGTTAAAACAGTGGCCACAATGTCGGCGAGAATGCAAACAATACACAGTGCCGCGGCGGCTCTGATATATTCTGAAAAAGAGAACAGAGAAAATTCCTCTTTTTTAGAAACTATTAAATAAAAGTGTCATTATTTTAATTGGAATAGCAACAAAATATTAAATATAATAAAAATAGAAATAGAAAAAAATAAGAAAAATAATAATAATAATAATAATAATAATAATAATAATAATAATAATAATAATAAATAGAAAAAAACGAAAATATTAAAAATACAAAAAAAACAAATGATAATAATAATACTTGAAAAAAATAGCAACAATAATAATAATAGAAATAAAAAAAAAGAAAATTGTAATAATTAAAATAAAGAAATAATAAATGGATATTTTTGGATAATAATTCTTACCAACGTCTCGAGCTTGATAGCAACCGGGAGCATCTTGAATGTTGAACGGAAGCGGAGTCTGAGCTCCTTCCTCGATGCAGTGCTCGAAGAGTCCCTGTCGCCATCCTGAGGCCATCAACCAATCAGTCGACGCCAGGCCCATTATCATCAGCAGAACCACTATCACTCCGCATATGAAGGCGATCACCTACAACATTTCATTCAATTGTCAATAAATTCTTTATTCATTCAAATTTCATTTTTATTCAAAAATTAAAAAATATTACATAAATTCATTCAATAAATATTTATTTTCTTAATAATATTCAATATTGTAACCAAAAAAAGCTAAAATAATATTTTATCTACAAAAATTTACTAAAAATAATACATTTAATAAAAAACAATTAAAAAAAAGTATTTCAACTATAAAAAGAAACTATAAATAATGTTTGAAGTACAAAAACTAAAAGTAATAATTTAATTAATTTTAACTGAAAAATAAAAATAGTATTTTAAGTACAATATTTGACTAAAAATAATATTTAACTACAAAATGAAACTAAAAATAAGGTTTTAAGTAAAAAATAACCAAAAATAATAATTGAATTAAAAGAAACTAAATATAATATTTTAACTAAAAAAGTTTACTAAAAATAATATTTTCGTAGAAAAAATTTTAGAATAGTATTTTAACTACAAAAAATAAACTAAAAATATTTTAATTTAAAAAGCTAAAAATAATTAGTATTTTTTTTATTATTTATTTTAATAAACATAAAATTTTAATTCAAAAAAACTAAAAATATTTTAACTCAAAAAATTAAAAATAGTATTTTTAACAACAAAAATTTACTAAAAATATTATTTTAACTACAAAATGAAACTAAAATTAATGTTTTAAGTAAAAAAAACCAAAAATAATAATTTAATGAAAAGAAACTAAAAATAGAATTTTAACTAAAAAACCAAAAAATATTTTAATTACAAAAAGAATCTAAAAATAATTTAACTAAAGAACCTAAAAATAGGATTTTAACTTTTTTTTAAAGTCGTTTTATTAAATAAATAATTAAATAAACTAAAAATAAATAAAACAAAAAATTTAATAAAAATATTTTTTAACTAATTTATTATTTACAATAATAATCTGAAATAATAATTTAAATAACAAAACACTTGCCAAATAAAAATGTAGAGAACAAGAAAAAAAAGTTCATCTCAAGAAACAAGAAAAATACTCCAGAAAATAAATTAAAAAAAAAAGAAGAACAAAAATTAAAAAAATACAACAAAAAAAAAAAAGAATTTTTCTACCTGGGCGATCTCATTATCACCCATGTGATCATCAGCCACCGTATACATGATCATTTTCATCGAGAAAAATTATAAAAAAAAACAAAATCCTAGGCGTTTCAATAATTATCACTCTCCTCCCCGAGCAGCCTCGAATATAATCCCCGCGATTCAAATAGAAAATTGCATCAACTCTTTCGTCGACAAATCCTCTCAAACATTGTTCTTCGTAAAAACACTTTTTCTTTTTTCCCCACACGAAAAGAAAATTCACACACAACCGCAAAGGAAGTGAATTTTCAATTAGGCTTGTTTGCGACGAGAGCAGAAAAAAAGGCAAGTCCCTCAATGATTAATTTGTTTTTTTTTCTCTCCTTTTCCTTCACTTTTTTACGCCTTCAATTCTCGTTCACTTCGCGACAATAATTCATTTGATTCGAATTATGTTGAAAATTGAGGTTTTTTTTTTCTTGATAATTAAACAATTTTGTTCACTGGAGAATATATTTTTTTTTAATGACTAAATTATCGTCGGTTTTTCTTGTAAAAAGATGGAATGCACGGCCATATTCAACACTAGTTTTTGGTCATTGAAAATAAGATTTTCAATAGAGAGGATGAACATTGAACACACTCGGGGGGGGGGATGAAAATGAAATTTTCTTTTTTCGCGAGGAGGGTCATCTCTCGGTTAGAGTTTCAAGGTGCGAGGAGGAGGGAAAATTTTACCCTTTGTCGATATCAAGAACGTTTTTAATGCCGAGGGAATAATATTGATTTTCTCCCCCCGCCCCACGAGTGTTCCTCCCCCCCACCCACTATTATCTCTTTATTTCCGGTGTAATAATATTATTTCACTATTTTACCTCCTTTTCTTTTTCAATCAATTCAATTTTAATAAAATTATTCGAAAGAATTCAATTATTATAATTTTAAGATTTTAACTGAAATCTATTTTTAAATCAAATGTTTATGTGAAAATTCTACCAGAATTCAATTATTTAAATACAAATTAAATGCAAATAAATAATTTATTGAATAATTGAATGTTTCTTGGAATTCAATTCCTATTAAAAATTTTATCAACAAATTTTTAAATAATTTTATAATTAATATTTCTAAAAATAATTGAATTTTTGACGAGAATTTAAAAAAATTTTTGAACATAATTGAATTTCTGCGAAGAATTTTATTACTTTTGAAAATAATTGATTTTTATCAGTTTTTTATTTATTTCTTTTTTATTGCTTCTAATTTATTATGAAAAACTTACTTGAGTATTAATTAGACATTTGTTTATTTATTTTAAATTTATTACTCACCTTCAAAGGCCTTGTGATTGTGACTGTTTCTATTACCGTTGTCTGGGACATTTTCAAAGGACTAACTGAAAAGAGACAAATAATGTAAAAAAATAAGGGGAAAATCATGAAGAATGCAAATTAAAAATTGCAATAACAAAAATAGTAATAATAATAATAATAATAAAAACAATAGAAATAGAAATAGAAAAGTAGAAAAACATAAAGAGAGTAATAGCGAAGATAATAGTAATAAAAAAGTTAAAAAAAACTTAAATGATGATAAGAATAACAATATTAATAATTAGAAACCGAAAAGAATTAAAAAAGTAATTATAAAGAGTTGAAATTCCAAGACGATGAGAGCATTGATTGAAATGAAAATATTTATTAATGACGCATACTTTACATTATTTGTTATATATAATAAAAAGTTCTCGAGAAATAATCTTATCAAAGTATAAAAAATTACGAAATGTATTTCATACACTCATACTTCATATCATTATTTCCTCGGTGAAAGTTCCCTTTAGTTTTTTTTATAGAAAATTAATTTTTCTAGTTTAAAATTTCGTAAAACCCTTTTATAATATTATAATTAAAAAGAATAAAAAGAAAAATTCACAAATCTTCATTGTTCAGTTTTTTCAATTAAACATCATCACAATAGTTATTTTCAAAAAACAAATTTTTTTAAACAAAAAAAACACACTTACAATGGAAAAATAAACAAAAGCACTTTCTCTCTTCTTCTTCTTCTTCGTTTTTTGACACTATAATTTTGTTTGTCGCACTTTAAAGTCATACATTTGTCGAGGTTATGCCTCTTGATAAGCCATTGTTCGTTAATGATTGTTAATTGACACTAATTGGTAAATGAAAGGTGATCTTTCATGGACCAATTTACATGAATCATGAACTTTGTATTTATAGTTTTGTTTCAATAAAAAGAATGACGTCAATATTTCCATTCGTGATTTCTCTCTCCAAATGGAGTGACGCCGAAATGGAAATGGAAAATACACGAAGTATTTTTTATGTAGAGAGGAATATTATTAGTATTTTACTTAAAGATCAACGCACAATGGTGCTTTTCTATCAATTCTCTCATTTCTCTACTTCGCGATACTATTGTGTGTGGACCTTAACGAAAATTCCTACAGTACCTTTTTGGAAAAACATTCTTTTTACTTCTCTCTCGCATGAAAATAGCATAAGTTTGTTCTTTACATTTTCTTATCTTTTTCCAAAAATGGAAATAATAATATAAATAATAATAAATAATGTAAAATAAAAAATAGAATAGTGAGGCAAAGAGGAGAATCGTACCTACCCAACCCTGTGATCTATCGAAAAGTCGAGATAAAGTAGATGACAGTCGGTAACACAGAAATCTGTAACCTGATAAATTCGATTTCCTAGTTTTCCTCAAACACATGTGCTTTGACATTTGTATATATATAACATATTTTATTGATAAAAAAAGGTTTTTTCCTCCCTTTACGCAATATTCAAATTTTCTTCCCCCTTTTAAACGCGCAGAAAATTGTTTCATAATTTTTAGGTTATGTTTTCCCACTAGATTCACTTTTACGACTTTTACACATTTTTCCCCCCAATTTTTTGTTCCTCGGTTCTTACATTTTTCGATTTTATAAAAATAAACTCTCTCTCTCTCTATTTATATATAAAATCTATTTTTGACATATAAAACCATAGAAAACTCGAAAATTTTCAGTAATTAAAAAGAAAGTGAAATTTTAATTCCATCAAATTAAAAATTTGAAAAAAGTTTATTATTTTTATTGCAACATATTTTTGACACTTGTGTTTGCTTGTGTTCCTTGTGTTTATATACATATATATAGGTGGATATTTGTATTATTATACAATTTATAAAAGCCTCGTGACAGTGAGTGAAAATAAATCACCTTGGCTACTTTATACATATTTTTCTCGATCAGATTTCCACCTGATTTTCAAACGGTGAGTGTTGAATGACATTGTTCTTTTTTATTAAATATTTTTTTGCCTAAAAATCCATTTTTTCTGTTTCTAACAATTATTTCATTAATTTTATCTAATTTGTGCCAAATATTATCATTTCTTTTGAGTTTATTCTGTGTATTTCATCTTTCTTCCTCGTTATTATTATTTACTTTTATTTTCGGAAATTTTATTTTTGTGCTTTTTCAGTAATTGTCAGTATTTTCCAAATCGTCGCTTTTTTGTTTTAAATGTTATTATAAATCGTTAATATTTTTATTATTTTCTATTTTATTGTTTTTTTCTATTCTCCTTACCATTTAATATTATTATTATTGTTATTATTAAAATTTGTATTGTTAATATTTTTATTATTTTCTTTTTTATTATTTTTTTCTATTTTTATAAAAAAAAATTCTACTCTTATAATTTATTATCATTATTATTATTACTATTGTTATTATTAATACTTTTAATTTATGATTTCAATTATTTTTATAAAGAACAAATTCGAATATTTTTCAAAATTTAATTCAAAATTCTTCGCAAGAATTCAATTATTTTTTATAAATAATAAAATTTCTCAAAGGAAAAATTCGGTAAAGAATAAATTTTATAATTTGAGAGAGACGAGAAAATATTTTTTTTTCTTTAACTAAATTTTTGTTTAAATTAATAAATTTTTTTTTAAATAAATAATTTTGTTTAAAATAAATAATTTTTGTTTAAATTAATATTTTTTTTTTGAAATTAATAATTTTTTTTTTGCTTGTGATTTTTATAGAGAGATAGAATGGCGGCATTTTTCGTGAAGAGAACATTGAATGCGAATCAAATTTTCACGTGTCGCTCTTCATTGTTGCCAATAACAGTGCAATGTTGCGCCTATGGAGAAATGGTGAATGGTCCAATAAAACAACTCGAGGATAAAGTTGCGAGAGGCGAATTAATGAGCGACGAACATCAGAGAAAAGTTGTCGATGAATTGGAGAGAGTTTTTCATCAAGTGGAAAATTATGAGCCGCCATTGAGAAAGGGATTATTTTCCAAATGGATTATGGGGAAGGGGAATAAGAAAAAGAAAAAAACACCCAAAGGATTGTATATCTATGGAGCAGTGGGTGGAGGTAAAACAATGTTGATGGACCTTTTCTATAATTGCTGTCAGGTATCTCAGTACGATTCACAAATCGAATCTCACCTGCAAAGTCAAAAAAAAACAAAATTTGAATAATTTAATTAGGAATTTTTTTGTTTTCTTTTTGTTATTTCGTAGCAAAAATAAAATAGTAAAAATTTTCTTTCTGTCATTTTTGTTATTTTCTAACAAAAATAAAATAGTAAAAATTTTATTTCTGTTCTTTTTGTTATTTTGAAACAAAATTTTCTTTCTATTATTTTTGCTATTTTGTAACGAAAATAGAAGAATAAAAATTTTCTCTCGTTACTTTTTAACAAAAACAACGAAAATAAAATAATAAAAACTTATTTTCTAACAAAAATAAAATAAAAATTTACTTTTGTTACTTTTTTAACAAAAATAAAGAAAATAAAATAATAAGAATTTGCTTTGTAACAAAAATAAATTAATTTTCTTCTTGTTATTTTATAAAAATAAAATAATTTTCTTTAGCTGTTTAAAATTTGCCTATTGTTACTTTTTAACAAAAAAATAACGAAAATAAATATTTTAATATTTTTGGTATAATTATGCAAATAATTTTAATATTAATAAAAATTTACACAAATTACTGCAAAAATAGTTCGTTTCGACAGACTTTTCAGTTGAGATTCAAGTATTTGGATAAATAACCAAAAAAAATGGTTTTTTTGAAACATTATAATTTTAAATTGATGAGAAAAAAAATTTCCTGTTTTTCTTTTCAAGTTGGAGAATAAGCAAAGAGTTCATTTTCATTCGTTTATGCTCGACGTTCATAGCAAAATTCATGAAATTAAAAATACAGTCGTGAGAGACAGAAGCAGCAATAAACTTCAACCTTACGATCCAATTCCTCCGGTTGCCGAGGAAATTATTAAAAAAGCCTGGTTGCTCTGCTTCGACGAATTTCAGGTAAATTTCTCTATATTTTTTTTCAATTTTTTCATTATTATTATTATTTTTTTTCAATATTAATTAAATTCGATTATTTTCCAGAATTTTTTTTTTTATAAATTCAATTATTTTCAACAATTTTGATGAAATTTTTTTTAAAAAAATCATAATGATATTTGAACATAATTTTCAAAATTTTTAATAAATTATCTCTAAAAAAATCCAATTATTTTTCATAAATAACAAAACTACTCGAAACAATTCAATTATTTTTCAAAACTTAATTAAAATTCTTCGCAAGAATTCAATTATTTTTATAAATAATATTTTTCGAACGAATTCAATTATTTTTTAAAATTTAATTCAAGTCCTTCAAAAAAAATTCAATTATTTTCAAAAATTCAAATATTTTCATAAATTTTCTCAAAAAAATTCAATTATTTGCAAAAATTCAACTATTTTCATAAATTTTCTCAAAAAAAATTCAGTTATTTGCAAAAATTCAAATATTTTCATAAATATTCTCAAAAAAAAAATTCAATTATTTTAAAACATAATAAAATTTTTCTTAGGATTTCAATTATTTTCATACAAATCTTCCCACAAATTCAATAATTATTTTTAATATAATTTTCAGAAAAATTTCTCGAAGGAATTAAATTATTTTTAAAAATTTAATTAAAATTCCTTCAGTGAATTCAATTATTTTCAAAAATTCAGATAAAATTCTTCGAAAGAATTCAATTATTCTTTTTATGAATTGTAAAATTCTCCGCAAGAATTCAATTATTTTTGAATAAATAAGAAAATTCTTCGCAATAATTAAAATATTTTCATAAATAATAAAATTATTCGGAGAAATTCAATTATTTTGAAGAGTTTTAATAAAAATTCAATTATTTTCAATTATTTTCTAATATAACTTTTCTTCGAAACAATTCAATTATTTTTATAAATTGTAAAATTCTTATCAAGAATTCAATTATTTTCAGATACAATTTTAATAAAATCGAAAATTTAATTATTTCTGAAAATAATTGAATTCTTGAATAGAATTTTATTAAAAATTTTCTAAATAATTGAATTCCTGACAAAAAAATTTATTTCCGCAAATAATTGAATTTTCGCAAAATTCTAAAAAAATAAGCGAATTTTTGAGAAGAATTTTATGAAAATTGTATTTAAAATAATTGAATGCCTGAGAAAAATGGACTATTTATTGATATAATTGAATTCTTTGGATGAATTTGAAAATAATTTAATTTTCCCTGGAATTAAATTGAAATTCTATTTAAAATAATTGAATTCCAGTGAAAATTGTTTAAGAAAATAATTGAATTTTATTAAAAGTCTTTTAAATAATTGAACTCCCTGTGAAAAATTCAATTATATTTTTTGAAAAATAATTGAATTTTCTCGGAGAATTTTTACAAGATTTTTAAAAATAATTGAAATTTTCGAAGAAATCAATTAAAAATGGAATTGAAATTAAGTAAAATTCTGATAAGAATTAATTATTTATATTAATAGTAATTGAAATTTTTTACGGATATTTTTATTACATATTTATAAATTTACTTTTAGCAAAGAATTTTATTACAATTATTGAAAATAATTTTGAATTCTTCATAAAATTCAATTACTTTCAAAATTTTCAGTTAAATATTATTAAATTTTCCAATAATTTTATTTATTAATTTTTATCAAGAAATTAAAAAAAATAATTGAATTTTGAAAAAATTGTGATTTTTAGAAATTCAATTTTTAAATTAAATTTAAAAAATTTTTTACATTGAAATTATTTGAAATTTGCATTAAAATAAATAACAATAAGTTTTTAAATATTTTCTTAATAAAAATTAGTTATTGTATTTTTGAATAATTTAATGTAAAAGTTCGAAAAAAAATTGTAATTAATAGTTTTTTGTCAAATTTCATTGAAATAAATTTTATATTTGAAGGAATTTAATTTTATTTTAATTTCAAAATTTGCTTTAAAATATAATCGTATTTTTGAAATTGTAATTTTGAATAAGGAATTTTTTTAATTAGATATAATTGTTAAGAGAATGAAATATTTTTCTATTAATAATAATAATAATAATAATAATAATAATAATAATAATAATAATAATAATAATAATAATAATAATAATAATAATAATAATAATAATAATAATAATAATAATAATAATAATAATAATAATAATAATAATAATAATAATAATAATAATAATAATAATAATAATAATAATAATAATAATAATAATAATAATAATAATAATATTAATAATAATAATAATAATAATAATAATAATAATAATAATAATAATAATAAAAATAATACTAATTTTCCTATTTTCTTTTAAAAATAATTTTAGGTAACAGACGTGGCGGACGCAATGATATTAAAGAGACTTTTCACTGAATTATTCAATAACGGAGTGATAATGATAGCAACGAGTAATCGTTCGCCGGACGATTTATATAAAAATGGCCTTCAAAGAAGTAATTTTATTCCATTTATTCAAGTGCTTAAGGATCATTGTACTATTCATTGTCTAGATTCCGGAATTGATTACCGATCGAAAGCTAGTTCCGGAAAGGAGAAGAATTATTTTGTGTCTGTATATTTTTTCCATATTACGTTTATTCTTATATTTTTAATTCAACATTTTATCAAACGAGATAAGAACCGGATTTTTATTATACAATTTTTCTTCTTTGCATAATCTTTCTATTTTTAATTTTATTTTTTTATTCAAAATTTATAATTTTTTTTAATTTTTCCGAAATTATTTTTTTTCGCAGTTTTAATTTATTAAATTTTTATTTTTTAATTATTATTTATATTTTATTGGGTATTATTATTATTTCTTTTACAATTATTATTAATCCTATTTTTTACTTTTAGATTTTTATTATTATTATTATTCTTACTATTTTTTACTTTTGGATTTTTATGTTATTTAAATTATATTAAAGAAACAATTTATTCGATTCAAATAACCGACTGCTTGTCTAGTATCAAATAAATATTTAAATTGAATCAAATAATTTTTAGTCGAATAAAATTGAATTCGAAATAATTTTGATTCGAATAATATTGAATTAGGAATCATTTTTATTCGAATAAAATTGAATTCGAAATAAATTTTAATTGAATCAATAATTTCAGTATTTGAAGCAATTACAATTTAATTGACTCGAATAAAAATATTATTGAATATTTACAAAGAAATATTTATTTAATAATAAATGTTAAATCGAATATTTAATTATAATTTATTTACTTATTTAATTAATTTAATTTAATTCTTATTTAATTACAATTTATTTTTTGTAATTTGCAGAAAAGGCGAGGATTCCGATAAGGATATTGACAAAATTTTCAAATATCTCTGCTCAATGGAGAATGATGTGATTAGACCGAGAATCCTCTCGATAAGAGGGCGAAATGTAACGTTTAAAAAAACTTGCGGACAAGTTATGGATTCAACGTTTGAAGAATTATGTGACAGGGTATTTTTTCCCCCCTTTTTATTAATAATTATTCTTCTTAAATCTTTATTTACAAAAGAAAAAGAAACAATGAAAATAATAGAAGATTAAAAAATAGAAAAAATTCTATTCGTTTTTTTTACTTATTCTATTCTTAAAAATAGAAAAGCAAAATAATTAAAATAATAATCATTTATTTTTTTGCTAAATTGAAAAATTAAAAATAATTACCTAAATAATAATTAATTAATAATTAAATATTTCTATTTTTTGTGCAATTTTTAATAGAAATTATTTATTTCCGAAAAGAAAAGAATAGAAAATAAAGAAATAAAGAATATAAAAATAATAATAATAATAGTAATAATATAATTACAAATTGATTTTTTTTCAGCCACTTGGTGCGAGCGATTACATTGAGATCTGTCAGGCTTTTCACACGGTAATTATCAGGGACGTCCCACAATTGAATTTAAAGATAAAATCACAGGCGAGGAGATTTATCACGCTAATTGATACGCTCTACGATAGTCGGGTAAGAGAGTTTAAGCAAATAAGACTTTCCCGATAAAAAATAGATAACACTAACAATAATATAAATAATAATAATAACGAATTTTCAAAAATTAAGAAGCAAATAATTAAAATTAAAATTTAAAAATAGAAAAGCAGATAATGAAAATAATAATATTAAAATAATTTCAATAATAATTATTTTTACTTATTTTATTTAACTATTTTAATTTATTGTTAATAATAAAAAAATAATTTGAATTTCCCCAGAATTTTTCACGAAAAAAAAATAATATTGTTTAAGTAATTTTACGTCCGTTATTAAATATTTTGTCAAATTAATTTTACGAGGCCTTTAAACGTTTAAATAAAATTAATTTGACAAAAAAATAATATTGTTAATAATAATAATAATAACAATGAAAATTAAAAAGTAGAAACTGAAAGTCAAATGAAATTAATAATTTGAATAATAATATAAATTATAAAATAGAAAATTAAATAATAGTAGTTAACAAAATTATTTGTTAATAAATTCTTCCGTTGAATTTAAAGAAGAGAAAAAAACAAATTTTTGAATAAAATAAAAATAAAATATAAATTTTAAAAAAATGAATTTTTTTCAGATAAGAATTGTCATTTCCGCTGCGGCTCCTCACACGGAACTTTTTGCACCAGAAGCGGATGCGGAATATACGGACGAAAAGCGAGCGCTGATGGATGACTTGCAAATTTCTCACGGCTCGGTAAATAATTATTTATTTTCTCTCTCTCTTTATTTATTAATTTTTTTTTCTAAATTTAACTCCTAAATATTCTTTGGCATAAGAAATTTTTTTTACTTCATTCAAAAAAAATTTTTTCTTTAAATTTCTTTTTATCTTAAATTATAAATTCTAATCTTTTTTTTTCAATAAACTAATTAATTTTTTGTTTGACGATTTTTACATCCGTTTTTTGTTTATTTATATTAATTTTTGATAAAAGTAATTAAGATGAATTAAATTATCAATTATTAAAAATGTAAATTAATTAAATTAAAATTTAAAATAAATTGTTCGATTTCTATTCTCCAAAAAAACAGGAAGATCATAAATCTAATATTTTCACGGGCGAGGAGGAATTATTTGCATTCGATCGAACAGTCTCGCGATTATCAGAAATGCAAACCACTGAATACTGGCAAGAATGGGATCGTCACAGATAACAAAAATGTGATTTAGAAATTTTTATTTATATATATTGTAATATCTATTGTATATTATAGTCATCGACAGTCATCATTGATAATAGATAAAATAATAGGTTACAAATATAAACAGAGATGAGCCTCACGTAGGTTTTTTTGCTTTCTTTTGTAAGTACATATAACAGAGAAAGACAAATTGTTTCACGAAATATTTTTTATCACGCACCAATTTTCTTTTATATATATATAAAAAAATCGTGTATAAGTAGATAAAGTTCGACGTTATTTATTTTAATTTTCGTCTTTTTATTATTTACGACAAAATCAATCCTTATAACCTTAAAAGTAAACAATTTTTTAAAAATTAAACAAAAAGTAAATTATATTCGTATGAATATTGAAATATTAATTTCAATTCAATTAATTTCAAATTCAATTAAATTCATTTCAATTTAAATTTCAATTATTTTTAGTTTCAATTTCAATTATAATTAAATTATTTTCAATTTCAATAAAATTATTATCAATTTCAATTATTCTTAGTTTCAATTTCAATTATAACATTAAATTATTTTCAATTTCAATTTCACTTTCAATTATTTTTAATTTCAATTATAATTAAATTATTTTCAATTTCAATTATAATTTAATTATTTTCAGTTTCAATTATTAGTTTAGTTTCAATTTCAAATAAATTATATTCAATTTCAATTAAATTATTTTCAATTACAATTATTTTTAGTTTCAATTTCAATTAGTTTCAGATTCAATTTCAATTATAATTAAATTATTTTTAGTTTCAATTTCAATTATTTTTAAATTCAATTTCAATTATTTTTAGTTTCAATTTTAATTATATTTAAATTATTTTCAATTTCAATTTCACTTTGAATTATTTTTAGTTTTAATTATAATTAAATTATTTTCAATTTTAATTATTTTTATTTTCAATTTCAATTATTTTTAGATTCAATTTCAATTATAATTAAATTATTTTCAATTTCAATAAAATTATTATCAATTTCAATTATTCTTAGTTTCAATTTCAATTATAACATTAAATTATTTTCAATTTCAATTTCACTTTCAATTATTTTTAATTTCAATTATAATTAAATTATTTTCAATTTCAATTATAATTTAATTATTTTCAGTTTCAATTATTAGTTTAGTTTCAATTTCAAATAAATTATATTCAATTTCAATTAAATTATTTTCAATTACAATTATTTTTAGTTTCAATTTCAATTAGTTTCAGATTCAATTTCAATTATAATTAAATTATTTTTAGTTTCAATTTCAATTATTTTTAAATTCAATTTCAATTATTTTTAGTTTCAATTTTAATTATATTTAAATTATTTTCAATTTCAATTTCACTTTGAATTATTTTTAGTTTTAATTATAATTAAATTATTTTCAATTTTAATTATTTTTATTTTCAATTTCAATTATTTTTAGATTCAATTTCAATTATAATTAAATTATTTTCAATTTAAATTTCAATTAAATTACTGTCTTTATACTGTTTTCACTATTAAAATATTTACAAATTCTCTAAAATACTTATTGCAAAATTCATTTTAAATAAATTTTATTTATTCGTCAATTAATTTTACAAGACGAATTATTATTAATTATTCCGTATAAAGGCCTCGTCAAAAATTTACTTCAACAAATAATTTAATTTTATTGCGAAAAAATGAATTTATATGAATATGACAACAATATTACATTTGAATTAAATACCAAAGTGAATTGGTAATAAATTAAAAACAAATTAATTAATCAGAATTTAATTGTCTCATCGTTTAGAACAAAATGTTTATTTCAATGTTTAAAAGACCCTCTTCATATTATATATTTTATACAGGAAAAAATTTGTGTTCGAGAAACGCAAAAAAAATAATAAAAACTTGAGTGTTCTGAGAGTGTATATTATTTTATTTATTATACTTGAAAATAAACTAAAATGTCTCATCGTTTAGAACAAAATGTTTCTTTCGTTGTTTAAAAGACCCTCTTCATAATCTGAAATTCTGAATTTGATTTAATTAGAATCGATTGAAATATTATCCGATCTATTATTATTATTATTACTCCGGGGGAAATATTTTGTTCCAAGAGGCGAACATAACCTTAAAATCTCATCGAAAAATAAACACGTCTGAAGTTAACCGCGCTCACGACAATTAATTTCTGCCATGTAGTTTCTATCCTTTCTATGTAGTTTTGTAGTTTGTGTTTATTTGTTTGTTATACTTTTGTTATTTTTTATTTATTTATTATTTTGTGTTTTATTTGTTTTGTTTATATAGCTAAATTAAAAAATACGCTTAACAAATGGAAGTGAATAGTGCAAATTTAATGACGGAATTTAAACATAATGAATCCCTTGATTTTACTGTTTTGAGTAAATTGAAAAATATCAAGACAAATATGGAAACACTGAATAAACTAAAAAATCATTTTCGCCATAAAATTAATTCAAAAAGAGCCTATGAACGAATTCATAGATTCGACGAACTTTACAAAGTTTTAAAGAAAAGGAATATTATTTCTCATGGTAAAATAAAAGTTTTCCTCGACGCTATTAATAATTATGATGGATCGTCACAATCACAATCACGGATTTTTAATTTAGAACAAGAATTCTTGAATTTGGTTGTTTCTAATGTACCCACTGATGGTAAAATCGCATTTTTTTTAAACAATGTTTTCAATTTTTATAATTTAAAAACTTTAACGGAATTTGAATTATTATGACGTCACGTATTTAGAACAAATGCTTTGAACAAACTGTGACGTCATAATGGTTCAAATGCCCTTAAAAAGGAAGAAGAATATATTTTTTACTATAAAAAATAAATTTTTTGTATTTATTATAATAAAAAATATACTTTTTCTTGAAATTTTATCTATTTATTTAATTTCCATATTTTCTGTCATTTTTCGAATTCACAGCCGCTTCAGGATTATCCCTAAAATATGAGAGTTTAGAAAATAATTCACAAAATTGTAGAAAGAATTCTCAGTCATGTTCGAATTGTGAGAATAGAAATTTAGACGATTTAAAGAAACAAGGTATTAAAATAATATTATCCCAATAACCGCAGACTTTTAATATGTTGTCTATTATTATAATTATAATTTTTTTTTTACAGTAATGATGAGAATCAGCGAACGAATAGGAAATAAGTGGAGAAATTTGGCCAGGTACTTAGACATTACAGAATCAGTAATCGACGGAATTGAATTTAGATATTCGGATTCAAACGAAAAGGCTTACCAGGTTGGGAAAAATTAATAATTATTAATATTTAATAAATATTTTTATTATTTATTTACTAGAAAATATTTTTCGTTTACTCGGTCGGTAAATTATCGACTGTAAATTCCAAAGAATTCCCGTTATTTTCAACTTTTATTTGAAAAACTTGAAAAACAAAAAAAGAATCATTTTTTTGCCCTTTTTATTTGCAATTTCCCTAAAAATTTACACTTTCAAGTTATGATTAAAATTAAATTGAAATTATAATTAAATTCCGTCTATTTAAAATTATATTTATTGTAATTAAAGTTATATTTGTTTCTAATTAAAATAACTTTTATTGTAAATAAAATTATATTATTATAATTTATTATCATTAAAATTCTTATTCTTATTATTCTTATTGTTAATTAAATTGTTATTATTATTATTACTATTATTATTATTTTTTTTCTTTTTACTATTATATTTATAGAATTAAAATATATTTACTAAAATTAATTAATTTACTAAATTAAATTTCCCATAATTAATTATTATAATTAAAATATATTTATAATTAAAAACAATAATTGCTAAACTATTATTCAAAAATTTAATCTTTTTGTACTTTTCAGATTCTAAGAATATCTCAAGGACAAAATGCCTTCGAAAAATGGTTAAAAAAATTGAAGACTGCACTAATTGAAGTCAGAAGAAGAGATCTCGCTGATTGGATAAATGATGAAATTGAGAAAAATTAATTTAATTCCAACTCGTGATAGAAAAACAAATTTGTACCTAAATTTTTATAATGTAATTATTTTTTTTTATTATTATATAAACGTTAATATATGAACATTCGCTGTATTTTTTTTCAATTTACAAAATTTCATATTTTTTTTTAAAGAAAAAAGCGAGAAATTCTTTTAATAACAAAAAAACTCTTAAAATAAACCAAAGAATTTGTTTTTTTTTATATAGAAAAATACAAAAAGAAATTTGTAGAAATTTTTAATTTTCTATTTTTTGCAGAGAAAAGTCTGTTTTTGCACAATTCAGATTTTTTTCCCTTTTCAATACATAATTATTCCTTAAAGGACGAAAATTGAGTATTGAAATAATTGAAATGAAATTTTAAAAAAATGTAGAAATGAAGAAAAAAAATGCAAATTAAAAAAAATGTCTGAATTTTTATGAATAAGAATCTTTTTTGTATTTTTAGAATTTTTAATTATTTTTTTTGTTTGTATTTATATGTTAAACATTTCATGTTTCATATTTCTTTTTTTTTGTATAGAGAAAGTATATTGAAGGTGGGGGGTTGGGGATAAATAACAGAAAGAAAAATTTGCGAGAGGGAAGAAAAAGAAGTTACCAGAAATTCTTAAATCCAAGACAATGAAATATATGAAAAAGTATCAAATATTATATATATATATATGTATGTATAAAGGGGGCAGAAATGAAAAATAATTATTTAATTTGTCTTGGCTTAAAGTTTCTCTCGAGCAAATTTGTTAATTTAAACTGTATAAGTGTTTCTGGTCATACTTCCTGTTTTGACCATTGTATCACTGTGAATTTGGTAACCTATTGTCACTTTCGACGTAATCCTTAAGCGTTCTTTCAACTTGCGTCTGAAATTAGAGGAAAAAATAGGAAATTAACGAGAGGAAAAGAATTAAAGAGAAAGAATAAAAAGAAAAGAATGAAAAAAAGAAAGAATGAAAAAAGAATAAAAAAATCAAAAAGAATGAAAAAAGAAAAGAAGAATCAGAAAGAATAGAAAGAGAATGAAAGAAAAATCAAAACGAATAAAAAAAACTGACAAGAGAAAGAATCAAAAAGAAAGAATCAAAAATAATGAGAAAAGAAAAAGTAGCAAAATGAGAAGAAAAGAAAAAAAAAAGAATAGAAAAAATAGAAAAATAAGAAAAGAAATTGTGTAAAAAGAAGAAAAGAAAAGAAAAAATAAAAAAATAAGAAGGAAAGAAAAGAAAGAAAGAAAAATAAGTAAAAAAAGGGGAGAAAAAATAGAAAAATTAAAAAAAAATAGTGAAAAAAGAAGAAAAGGGAGAAAAAATAGGAAAAAAAGAATAGAAAATTAAGGAAAAAAGAAAAGAAATTATGGGAATAATGGTAAATTTACCCAATTTCCATAATGCTCTGCGAACTATTTGCGTTTCCGGTCCACAGAGCGAGCTTATCCTGACGAGCTCTGACATTAACGACAGCGCCGCATATATCCTCGGAAAATTCATTGAAACCCTCGCCAATCATGCACAAGAGAATTTCCAGCCAAAAACGATCCAACTCCGTGGGTCTTTGTTTCTTCTCGAGATTAATTAGCCATCGGCCTCCATTTTTATTGGCATCATCTTCCCACATTGGTCGGACTCCTTCTTTAAACATACTATAGTCGGATCCATTTCTCAACTCCGAGGCGGATTTAATATGATTGTACAAACTGAAAATCAAAACATTATTTTTTATTTTTCTGTCCAGCGAAAAAACAAAAAGAAATCTAACAGAAAAATAAGAATTAGTAAAATATGCAAAAATGCAAAAGAAAAAAAAGATATGGACAAGAAAAGAAGTAGAAATAAATTTAAACGGACAAAAAATATAGAAATGCAAAAAATAAGAGTAAAAATAGACATAAAGAAACAAAAAATGTAAAAATGCGGAAAAAATAAATATAAAAAGACAAAATGTGCAAAAGAAATAATTAGTTGAAATTCAAGCAAATAAAAAGTGTAGAAATACAAAACAAATTGTGGAAATAAAAATAAATGAAAAAAATTAGTTGAAATAAAGAAAAACAAAAAAAAAATGTAAAAATGCCAAAAAAATTAGTAGAAACAAAACATAACAAACAAAAAATGTAGAAATAAATATGAACAGACAAAAAGTGTCAAAAAATTAAATTAGTAGAAATATAAACAAACAAAAATGTAAAAATTCTAAAATAATTAGTAAAAATATACATAAACAAAGAAAAATTGTAGAAATTTAAAAAAAAGAGATTAGTAAAAATTTAAATCAAACAAAAATGTAGAAATTAAAATAATAAGTAGAAATAATTATAAACGAAGAAAAAATTCAAAAAATAGTAGAAATAAATATAAACAGACAAAATGTGCAAAAAAGAAAATTATTAGAAATTTAAATAAACAAAAAATACAGAAATTATAAAAAAATTAGTTGAAATAAACATAAACAAACAAAAAATGGAGAAATACAAATAAAATTAGTAAAAATAAACATAAATAAATAAAAAATGTAGAAATAAAAAAATAGTAGAAATTGAAAAAAACAAGAAATGTAGAAATTAAAAAAAAAGAAATTAGTAAAAATTTAAATCGAATAAAATTGTAGAAATTTAAAAAAAAATAGTAGAAATTAAAAGAAACAAAAAAAGTAGAAAAAGTAGAAAAACCGAATGAAATTGTAGAAATTAAATAAAGAAATTTGTAAAAATTTAAACCGTATGAAATTGTAGAAATTAAAAAAAATAGTAGAAATAAATACAAACAAAAAATGTAGATATTAAAAAAACATTAGTAGAAATAAACGAAAACAAAGAAAAATTGCAAAAAAAATTATTAGAAATAAATATAAACAGACGAAAAGTGCAACAAAAAAAAAAATTGTGGAAATATTAACAAACAAAAAATCTAGAAATTAAAATAAAAATTATTAGAAATTAGCATAAACAAACGAAAAATGTAAAAATACAAACAAAATTGGTCGAAATAAATATAAACAGACAAAAAAATGTAAAAATTCAAAATAAATTTGTTAAAAACAAACGAAAATTGTAAAATTACAAAAAAATAGTAGAAATAAATATAGATGGACAAAAAAATTTGAAAAAATGACTAGAAATAAATATAAACAAATAAAAAAAGTAAAAATAGAAAAAAATTAATTAATTATTCAATAAATAAAATAATTAATTTTAAAAAACAAGTGGAAAAAAATATAAAAAATTAGAAATAGAAGAGAAAGTAGTGAAAGAAGAATAGGAAGAAGAGGAAGAGAAAAAAATACCTCCAAAAATCCTCAGCCGTATCAAATTTGGCAATTTCTCGTTGACTCTCCTCCCAAGATTTAGAACGATCCTGTTCATAATACCAAAGAGTCCACGTGTTTTGAAGGGGATGCTTGATTAACAATTCAGGTGGAAATTCCTCCATGCTAACCAATTCTAGTTCCTTTTTGTCAACTTCCTGCAAATAAACATTTACCTTACCACAATTAAAATCAAAACATCAAAGTACAATTCCCCAAAAAATATATATTCACACCTACGATAAATTCAATTTCGAGCATATGTTTTAATAATAACTTACATCACGAAAAACAATGAAAAACCATGCCTTCACATATTTCGTGCTCAAATCAAATTTCTCCCCCGCACGAGCAACGAATTTTTAAAACAAAAGAACAAGAAAAATATCTCCCTAAAGATATTCTTTATACACCAAATAACAATCTTTTAATATTCTATTCAAATTTATCATCATTATTCAGTTTCAGTGAGAATAAAAAAGGAAAAGGAATAAAACTTTTCCAGTAGCAGAAAAATGGGAACAATTTTGAAAAGATCGTGGGGAGTGAAAGATTTGAGTGTATAAGTTAGCAAATAGGAATGTAAATCAGGGTTTGTTGTAAAAATGAAAGACTGCTTCTTTTCCTTACCTCCATTTCTTCGGAATTGTTTGTAGCCATAGTTAAAGTTTGCTTTCTAAATGTTTCCTTCATTGAGAATCATTGACATGCAATGAAATTTATTCACAGAGATGGGTCGTGCTTGTCTCGAGAGCACCACCGCCATTGACCAACAAATTTTTGTGAGAGGGGAAACTGCATTCTAGTTGGTTCCAGAAAATTCTCACCATGGAGTTATAAAGGTGCTTTCACAAAGCTTCTTTTTTCTCAAAATAAATCAAGTGCATTTCTTTTTTGCATTTTCTATTTTATTACTCACTAATTAGTAAATTAACTAAATACTAATTAGTGTTTATTACTCACTAATTAGTAAATTGACTAGGTACTAATTACTAAATTTTGCTTACTGTGGATCAGGCTTAAGGTCGTTTAAAGAATCTCTTTCGCGAAGCTATTGTGCGTTGGCCTTTAATAATTTCATTCAGCAGAGGTGGGTAGTTGACAAAAAGAAGTATATGCCCATTGTGAACCGAACCTAATGATTCAAAATTCAGACGTTCCATCCACTTTCCGTTCTCTCAAATTACTTTCCCACAGCTCTCCCACTTTTCTCTTCACCACAACACCACAATTTACAGCATTTACAGATTACAGACACAAAACCAATTTAGTTGCACGTTGCACCAGTTCCATACAGGACGGCTCTAAGTGGAATTGTGAGAAATTAAAGTGCGATCGAAAGTCAACAGCCGGTTTATTTCATTGAAACTGAATTTTTATCAAAAAAAAAAAGTGTCCCGATTAATAACTAACCATTGTTTTTTTAAATTCATCCACTGTTATTTTTTTCTTTCCATTTATTTTACTATCTTTCATAAACTTAAATTAATTATCCTAAATTTCCCAAATAAGTTAAATCTACTTATAGAAAAAAATATGCTTGTGATAAAAAATTCGAATTGGATTAAAAAGTGTCATAAACTACATTCTTTATGTACTTGGTGAAGAAATTTTCAATTGAACATGAAAAAACGACTGCTGAACCATTGTTTTTCGCCTGGTAAGCATATTTTTCCATTATCTTTTATAATAATTATAATATAATAATTAATAATATTGAATTCTTTCTACACATTTTTTAAAGTTTAAAAAGAAAATTCTAAAAAAATATTTATTAACAATTGAATTTTTTTCTGAATAATTTGAGAGAGAGAAAGAGATAAAAGAAAAAATTTTTTTCTAATGAAATTTTTGTAAGAATGAAAGTATAATTTAGATGCAGGGTTTGCCTAAAAAAATTGAAGAAAAAAAGTATCAATGCCGCCTTTTAAAAAAATTGATTCCACTTGAAAAAAGAGGTCAGTACATTGAATAAAAGTTTATCGAGTGCAATATATTCATAATAGGCTCTTTAGAGAGAGAGAGTTTTAATTTTACACACATTGTTAATTGGTAAATTGTTAAATTGTAAATGCAATATTGCTCGGTCAACTTCCTTAAAGGAAACTTGTTATACTTATTAATTGTTAATTTTTACTGTTCATTAATTAATTACTGATTATTGACTATTAATTAATTGTTACTACCGGTTCAATGCACATTTAATGCCAATAGCTTTGTTTCTTACTGTAGAATAATTAATTTTTGACAATATTTCTACTTTATTTCTTGACGTAATTATTAATAAAATAAATACATTAATAATACAAAATTTTAAAAATTAAATAAAACAAATTAAGTATTTGAAATAAAAAAAGTAAATAAATAATATAAAAAAAAATAATAAAAATTAAAAAAAACACAAATTTTACTCTGAAATTAATTTTATTTGATTTTCCAAATTTCAATAATTAACAATAATTATAAATGATAATTAATTCAAAATATGCAAAGTGTCAGAAAGAAAGCGTCTCATTTAGAATTTTTTTTTCAAGTATTTTTTAATTGTTTAATTATAAAATTTGAAAATAAATTTTTCGGTCTAATGCATTTTCTCATGGAAATTGAAATGTAAAATAGTTTATATTCTTTTTTTTTCTAGTGAAGGTCGTTAGTAACACTTGATAAATTTTATTTCCTTGACCGTGATTAATAAATGTAAAACAATATTTAAAGTATTTATTTTTTTTTCGTGACCTAAATTTTTTTTTACTGTAAATATTATTTTAATTATTTAAATTTTAAATTTTTCCCAAACACTATACCACAGTGAAATTGAAATTATTGGTCTATACCTACAAAAATTAAGTGAAAAGAAAAATAATTTTTACACGGAAAATTTAAAAAGAAAAATATTTTTTACGCAGAAAATTTCCAAAAATATATATATATTTTTCCAGGGAATATTTAAATAGAAAAATATTTTTTACGAACGGAAAATTTAAATAGTTATTTTTTTCACACGGAAATAAATTAAAATAGACAAATAATTTTTAACGCTGAAAATTTAAATAGAAAAATATTTTTTACACAGAAACAATTTAAATAGAAAAATATTTTTTACACGAAAAATTAAAATTGAAAAATACTTTTTACACGAAAAATTTAAATAGAAGATTTTTCATACAGAAAATTCAAAGAGAAAAATATATTTTTTTCTAAATCGTCGATTAAAAACGTTGTGAACAGATGAACTTTTCAAAGAAAGTAAAATTCCGAGAAATTTCGAATTCCGATAAAAAATATAAATTGACAGTCGAGAGAATTGTAAACCGACCGAAATGTGCGCAACATTTTTTGACACAAAAGTTAAAAGTGTTTTCACAATCGCAAATCGTGTCGAATGCGCGGGATTTACATACATAAATATCATAAACATCATGAATATAGTGAAAATATTTCGGAATTTAATTTCGTCAATTGCGTACGCTTCATAAGTTTATTGTAATTCACACTTCTCACTTGCACATGACACAGGATATCCTTGAAACCTTCTAACGGTCCTGGCAACATCAAACACAGTTACGGGAACTTGAATGCGTATTATACACAATCCTGGTCGCATACACATTTTGCCATTAAATTTTTCGAGTACAATAACAGCATAAACATAAACAGGATAAATAAAAAGCGGGGAAAAAAAATCGTGTCTACTATTGTATACAAATGGGATCATTTTTTTTTTTCTTCTTTTTTTTTTAGAAAAGGGCAAATGGCACGTTCGACATTAAAAAAAATACTACTTTCTCATGCCTTGTGAATGGAAAAAAAATCACACAAGGCAAATTTTAGTGGAATACGTTCTCATTTTTTTGTTGAGAATGTAAAAAAAAAAGTTATTAAGTATTCATTGATATAATTGTTCTTTTTTATGGGAATATCAATTTTTTATTTTTTTGATTCTCTTTTTATTGATTTTCGAGAATATGGAAGAAAATATTTTTTTTGTTTGTAATTCTCAGATTTTTTTGATTTTTTTATTATTTCTCAGGAATAAAAAAGAATTTAATTTTTATTTTTCTGGAATTATTAGATATTTTCTATTTTATAAAGACTTTTTTTTATTTTTTATTGATTCTTTTTATTATAATTAATAATTATCGAGGTTACAAAACAAAATGTTGAATTTTTATTAATTTTCCCTTGTAAAGTATTTTTATTCACTAACTTTATATTTTATTTTCCATTTTCTTTATTCATTTATTTACTTATAATTTTTTCTATTCCCTTAGTTTTTAATTTTTATTTGTTTATTTATATTTTTATTTATTTACTTAGAATATTCTTGTTTATTTATTTAAAAAATTTTTGCTCATTCATTTATAACGTTCTTGTTTATTTATTTATAACGCTCTTATTTATTTATTTTTTAATTTATAACAATCTTATTTATTATTTTATAATTTATATTTATTTATCAAATTTAATTACGGTCCCCAACATTTACTGAATTAATTAAAGAAAAAACTCACACGAGTCGGGATTCGAACGCTGGACCTTGCTATTTCAAAGTGACGCAACGCCTTACGCCCCGCAGCCAATACCAACCAAAATTTCAATTATTTTCAAAAGTAATAAAATTCTTCGCAGAAATTCAATTATGTTCAAAATTTTTTTTAAATTCTCCTCAAAATTTCAATTATATTTAGAAATATTAAAATTCTTCTGTGAAATTCAATTATTTTCAAAAAATCTAAAAAAAAAATGGTCAACATCTCAATTATCTTTATAAACAAATAGCAAAATTCTTCGACAAAATTCAAGTATTTTCAAAAATTTTAATAAAATTAATTAAAAAATTTCAATTATTTTCATAATTAACAATATTTATCACACGAATTTAATTATTTTTTATAGTAATAAAATTCAATTAATTTCAAAAATTTTAATAAAATCCATTGCAAAATTTCAATTATTTTCCAAAGTAATAAAATTCTTTTTAGGAGAATTCAATTATTTTCAATAGAATTTTAATCGAATTCCTCGAAATAATTTCATTATTATTATTATCAAAAAGTTTTAATTTCAATTCTACGAAATTCTTCGAAAGAATTCAATTATTTTTATAAATTAATAAAATTCTTGTCAGAAATTCAATTATTTTCAAAAGTTTTGATAACATTCTTTATTGAAATTCAATTATTTTTATGAAATGTAAAATTTTTCTCAAGAAAAATTCAAGAATTCAATTATTTCCAAAAATCTAAATTATATTTTTCGCAAGAATTCAATTATTTCCGAAAATAATAAAATTCTTCGACAAAATTCAATTATTCTTATAAATTACAAAATTCTTCATAGAAATTCAATTATTTTTAAAAATTTTAATAAAATTCTTCGTAGAAATTCAATTATTTTTAAAAATTGTAATAAAACTCTTCCCAAGAATTCAATTATTTTCATAATTAACAATATTTATCACACGAATTCAATTATTTTTTAAAGTAATAAAATTCAATTATTTTTAAAAATTTTAATAAAATCCATTGCAAAATTTCAATTATTTTCAAAATAAGTAATAAAATTCTTTTTAGGAGAATTCAATTATTTTCAATAGAATTTTTAATCGAATTCCTCGAAAAAATTCTTAAAAATTTTATTAAAATTCGTCTAAAGAATTTAATTATTTAAAAATTTGTTAATAAAATTTTTAATAGAAATTGAATTCCAAGAAACATTTAATTATTCAATAAATTATTTATTTGCATTTTATTTTTATTTAAATAATTGAATTCTGGTAGAATTTTCTCATAAAAATTTGATTTAAAAATAGATTTCAGTTAAAATCTTAAGATTATAATAATTGAATTCTTTCGAAGAATTTCATTAAAATTTTAAAAATAATTGAATTTTATCGAGACAATTTTTTTAAAATTGTAAAAAGTAATTAAATTTCTACCAAAAAAAATTTTATCAAATTTTTTTAAAATGCGGTTTGAATTTCTGCTAAAATTCTGATATTTTTTGAAAATAATTGAATTCTTGCGAAGAATTTTTTTATTAAGACTTTTGAAAATAATTGAATCTCTGCAAAGATTTTTAATATTTTACGAAAAATATTTAAAATTCTTTGCGAAGAATTTTATTAAAATTTCTGAAAGTAATTGATGATCTGCTAAGAATTTTGTTATTTTTTATGCCAAGAATTTTATTAAAATTAAAAAAAAATAATTGAATTCCTGTTAATTTTTTACAAGAATTATAATTATTTTTGAAAAATCATAATAAAATTCTTCGCAAGAATTCAATTATTTGTTATCATAAATAATAAAATTCAATGCAGAATTTCAATTATTCATTTCATTTTATTCATTTTATTTCTTTTTAATTCAATTTTAATCGAATTTTGTCGAAAAATGTAATTATTCTTAAAAAATTTATTAAAATTCGTTTGATAGAATTGAATTATTTGAAAATTTGTTGATAACGATTTTTTATCGGAATTGAATTTTAAGAAACGTTCAATTATTCAATAAATTATTTATTTGCAATTTTTCCTTTAAATTTGTATTTAAATAATTGAATTCCAGTAGAATTTTCTAATAAAAATTGATTTTCAAAAAATGAATTTCAGTTCAACTTTCAGATAATGAAAGAAATAGCTCTATTAAATGCAATAGA